ACGCCTCAGCGTAGCGAGTCTGAGGTTCCTGTACCCCCTCCTCTTAAGCGCGAGGGCCTATACCCTGAGCAACGCCTCAGTATAGCGAGTCTGAGGTTCCTACACCCCCTCCTCTTGAGCGCGAGGGCCTAGGCCCTGAGTAACGCCTTAGCGTAGCGAGTCTGAGGTTCCTACACCTCCTCCTCTTGAGCGCGAGGGCCTAGGCCCTAAGGTTCTTACACCTCCTCCTCTTAAGCGCGAGGGTATAGGCTCTAAGTAACGCCTTAGCGTAGCGAGTCTAAGGTTCCTACACCTCCTCCTCTTAAGCGTAAGGGCCTAGGTAAGTATTTCGACGAGCGATAGTGATAGGGACACCCGGGGATTTCCCAGTGTATATAATAGAGGTATCCGAATCTCTTTAGACGGTTTAATAATGGGCGCGTAAATGCGAAAATAGGTGTCGACTTAGTTTTCTCGGAGGGCGAGGAAGTTACGGCATGTTAATTTTTACTAGTATACTTTCTCTCCGTACGGCTATAGCTACGTCCATTCGCGCTGTTCGGTTTTCTCTTTTAGGTAGGTTTCTTAGGTATCTCGTTAAGGTTAGGGAGGGTAGTAAGTTCTCCTAATCTTTTTTATTAGTTTATCTAAGTATTAAAGTTAAGTGTAGTTACCGTATATATCTCGGTATATACTTAGTGTAGTATTAATATTGTAGGTTTAGTATCGCGGAGCGTTCATTGTTCGAATACCTAGATATCCTACGTTTACCTATATACCCATTCATTTTATTAAAGAGATTGGGGTGTAGAATAGATCCATTCTATAGCTAGGGTTAATAATGCTGTATAATATATCGAGTCCGCTGTTCGAATGTAGATCGAGTACGGGAGGGTGCGTAGTAAATGAAATAGGGAGCTACCTAGAGCGCGCTTAGAGGGGGTTACGCTGTAAATAAACTAATGGGTGAATTATCACGCTGTAAGCGGACTAATGGACGAATTGTCACGCTGTAAGCGAACCAATGGGTGAATTATCACGCTGTAAGCGGACCAATAGATGAATTATCACGCTGGCTAGATGTTAGAAATGGCCTTCATATGACCTGGAGCGCGGGGCGCCCGGAGGCAGGTCTACCGGGGCGGCAGCCTGACTATATAAGGCTAGGTCACGTGCTGTACGTAACTACCTAAAGGAGAAATGTTCGATATGTTGGTATAATGGTATACTACCATATCAACATATTAACATACCATTCCCAGTTACCTATTCGGGACATACCTTACAAGTATATAGCTACGCTCATTCCCCTTTCATAGTTACACTCTCTCGTAGCCAACTCATGACATCTACTTCACTATACTATTCTAAAGTCACTCGACTATTCATACCTTGCGTACTCTCGACCCAGCTCATACAATAAAGGAACTGTGACTAAGGAAGCCTAACTACGTTAGGCCATACAGGAAGCAGCTCTGACACTTTAGCTACCACCAATCGGTACGAGAAACGACCTCTATAAGTAGTCACGGAAGACACACAAGACCTACATCCCCAACCGACGAACTCCTCGCGCGATAAGCATCACGCCTATCTCTAAACGACACGATGGTAGGACCTAGTACACCAAGACCAACGCCATCGGATACTACTACGGTAGAGGTAGCATCGGTGACCCCCACTACGGTAGAGTTAGCGCCCAAGGGTAAGATCGGGAACCCACCTAAGCCCTTCAATGGGGCATGGGAGAAACTCACACCTTTCATCCACCACGTGGACATATATCTATTGATGAACCCAGGAGACTTCCTAAGCGACATGCAAAAGATTCTCTTCATAGGAAGCTATTTCGAAGGAGGAGCCGAGGCCTAGCTCCGCCCGTTCATTAAAGACTACATGGAAAACCAGCCTAGCAATAGGGAAGACGAGACTATTACATTATTTCGAACCTTCTAGGGATTCAAGACGAAGGTCAGGAAGGTGTTTAGGGTAAGGGATAAAGAGAAAGAAGCGGAACGACAAATCATGAACCTACGTCAAACGGGCTCGGTTTAAGATTATACAACCAAGTTCCGAACCCTAAACGCAGCACTTAGATGGGGCGACGGTATATCGATCCCTATTTTTCGCGAAGGCCTCAAGCCAGCGATCAAATGGGAAATGAGGACGTATAAAGGAGAGAAAATCGAAGACTGGATCGATGGGGCAATCCAGGTCGACAACGATTACCAAGAATACAAACGCCACGACAACTACCGACGAGGATTCGTAGTGAAAGGACAAAGGTCCAATACCAAAAAACAGAGGCAACCATACTACGGACCGATGCCAATGGACCTTAACCAAGTCCAGAAGAAACGAGGAACGACCCAAGGTAAAGACACAAAACAAGGCAGGAAGCCCAATGGGCTAAGGAACCAAGGAAACTACTATAATTATGGAAAGCCTAGTCACTACGCAAGAGAATGCAAGTCCCCAAAGAAACAGGCGAATCAGGCAGAACCCCAGAAAAAGAATTAGGCAAAGAGATCAGAGACAAAACCAGAAGCGAACGTAGTCCACGCAGGAGAATCAGTAGATCACCAAAGCGCAACAATCCTCGCTATTACCCCGAATCGCATCCACATCAAGACAAGGTACTAGAGCGATAAGGAATGCGTAGATCCTACATGCCCGAAAGGGACTATGTTCCAACATTGCCATACGGTCTACGAACTAACGGAGGAACCGAAGCCAAGGGAAAGGATTTTCTCGATTATCCTGTGCAAAAACCCGGAATGCCCTAGGAATCAGGTAGAGGGCTATGTTCATTCACATCAGGGGGGAAACCTAGAAACTCAATACATATACAAGATCGAAGAAAGTCAAGTAGAGCCGGAAATTAACATGACAGGCCGATTCAACCTAAACGAGTGGGAAGAAGATGACGAGCACCTAACTACGCTCCCAATGCTCGAATAGCTGCACGAAGAAGTAATTCGGATCGTATAAAGAGTACGAGACCTCGGAGCAGGAGGAACTAAGGAACAACGAGACGAGGTACTCCAAGAAATGGCCAGACTCATGACGAGAATTCTAGAAGAGAGACGAATCCTCAGAGAACGATACGAACGAGTAAGAATACTAGGACTAAACGACGACAGGGTCCTAGAGGTGTTTCGCATCTGCAGAGAACAAGGTGTCCCTATGCTACATATAGACGAGACTCTAGAAGGGGTATTAATCAGAGGCAACTTCGCCTACAACGAGGTAATAAGGTGCCCGTTAAGGAACATACCCCACTATTACGAACGACACCTGGACTATCTACAACCAGAAGCTCTAGGGATGTCAATTGAAGAAGCTAGAGAAGCACATCAAGCATCAGTAGAACGATGCAGGGACTAGAACTGTAAGGTATCCGACCCGCGGAACGGGAGGATGGACCACCTACACTAGCTAAAAAACTAGGGTAGGGACGGCCTAAGGAGCAGGCCGCCTAAGGAAGGACAGCTCCACCAAGGCGCGAGCGGAAGAGGGCCCGCAGAGAAAGCGCAGCAAGGGACCAACCAGAGGAACTATATGGAATGGCTATGGCGACTCACTCGCATTCAATCATTCTACATAGAACTCTAGGAGATCAGGAAGTACACATCCTTATCGACTTAGGATGTACCGGTAACATCGTCAGCCACCGGGTAGCTAATAAACTAAAGGAGTGGAAATACGAGAAGACCACGTCCTATAAACTATCAGGATTTACCGGAAAAGCACTATCTAACGTCACACACGAATTGAGAAGAATTCGATTATCGATCGACGAGTACCACGAAGAAATCAGCCTCGACGTCGCGGAGACGAAATACGATATTGTACTCGGAATGCCATAGTTAAAAAGGCATAACCCTATTATCGACTGGACGAAGGTCCAGGTACGGTTCGATAACTGTAACTATATAGAAAGACCTCAGGACCGAGAGGTAATGGCGGTACAACCCTTCGAGAGGAAGGAGGTTTAGGTACGACCTATAAAGATACTGGCCGAAGCATCCGTATGCCCGCCAGAGTACGAAGGACTTAAAGAAGTCTTCGAAAAGAAGGTAGGATTCGAGGCACTACCTGAATATAAGCCGTAGGACCATGAAATACGACTCTAGGAAGGGAAAAGACCTACGTTCGGACCACTTTATTCACTGTCCGAAGTAGAGTAATAGGCTTTACGTAAATACCTTAAGGATAATTTAGTAAAAGGCTACATTAGACCCTCAGAATCAGAAGTAGACTATCCGATCCTATTTATCCCTAAGAAGGACGGTAAAGAACTCCGATTGTGTATAGACTATCGGAAGTTAAACGACATTACCGTTAAAAATGTATACCCGCTACTACGGATTGATGAGCTATAGGATAGGCTTAAAGGCGCGAAGTACTTTACAACGATCGATGTGAGAGACGCGTATTACCGTATACGCATGAAAGAAGGCGAAGAGTGGAAAACAGCCTTTAGGACCCGCTATAGACTATACGAATACTGCGTGATGCCATTTAGGCTTACTAATGTACCAGCGACGTTCTAAGCGTTAATCAACAATGTCTTACGGAAATACTTAGACATCTTCTACGTCGCATACCTAGACGACATTCTAATCTACTCGAGGGATTATAAGTCGCATGTAGAATACGTTATAAAGGTACTGGAAGCACTAAAAGAATACCAACTGCCGGTTAAGCTAGAAAAGTGCCAGTTCCATAAACTAAGCGTGAAGTTTCTTAGTTACATTATCTCGCAAGACGGACTATAGATTGATCTAGATAAGATCAAGAGCGTGTTAGAATGGCTAGAACTAACGACGCTAAAGGAACTATAAGCGTTCCTCGGATTCGTAAATTACTCGAGGAAGTTCATCAGGAACTATTCGCGAATCGCAGCACCCTTAACGAATCTAATAAAGAAAGGAGTCGCGACCTTTACTTTAACAGACGACGCTCGGGAAGCAATATAGAGACTTAAAAAGGCGTTTACGGAGGCTCCGATCCTCACGATCTTCGACCCAGACCTCCAGACACTCCTTAAGACGGATGCATCAGACGGCGCGATCGCCGCGGTCCTGACATAGATAGGACTGGACAAGAAGATAAGGCCAGTAGCTTACTTCTCAAGAAAGATGACAGCACCAGAACTAAACTACGATATACATGATAAAGAACTACTTACTATCGTCGAAGCACTGAAACACTAGAGAGTATACCTCGAAGGACCGAAACATACGGTTAAGATATACTCAGACTACAAGAACCTACTATACTAGAATACGACCAAGGTTCTCAATCGGAGATAGGTAAGATGGGCGGAGACACTCGCCACTTACAATTTCCAGATTTACCATGTAAAAGGAAAGGAGAACGGCAGAGCGGACGCTCTAAGCCGACGAGCCGATTATATAGCAGACATCAAACCAACGCCCGCGTCACTACTACGACAAGAAGGAGAGTACCTCACGTACGCTCAACCTACTTACGTAGTAGGGGGGCCGTTATACAACACGAACAACGGGTACGATACAAAAATCTAGATAAAGGACACGATAGGACTGAAACAGCCCTGGAAAATACAAGAAAACAGGAAGGTGGTCATAGAACATTACTACAACGACCCACTTATGGGACACCCAGGGACAGACAAAATGATCGAACTGATCACTCGACATCACGAACCATAGAAAGGCATGAGAAAAGACATCCAAGAATTCACGTAGAACTGCGAAGTATATATACAGGACAAGCATAACAGACATAAACCATACGGATTACTGCAACCACTACAGGCGCCAGAAGGTGCGTAGACGTCAGTCACAATGGACTTTATCACGAAACTACTAAAGTCAAGAGAACCCCTCACGGGTGTGACTTACGATAGTATTCTAGTGATATACGATAGACTTACAAAGTTCTCCTACTTCAGGCCATACTTGGAAAGCTCGACGGCCGAAGACTTCGCATATGAATTCTTGAGAACCGTGTTCGTAAACTACGGCATGCTAAAAGAAATCATTACAGACCGAGATAAGCTCTTCACGTTAAAGTTCTAGAAGGAACTGATGAGGCTATTAGTTACGAAGCACAAACTATCCACATCATTCCACCCTCAGACAGACGGTCAAACAGAGAGAACGAACTAGACACTGGAACAATACCTACGGATGTACGTAGACTACGGACAAACGAATTAGGTTGCGATGCTACCGATCGCACAATTCTACTTCAATAACCATAGGTCAGCAACAGGATTAAGCCCATTCTACGCTAATTATGGATTCCACCCAAGACTAGAGGACAACACCCAAGAGAGCTCGAACCTAAGAGCACTAATAAAGGCTAAAACAATGAAAGAAATCCACGAAAGACTGCGAGAGACCCTGCAGTTCATCGCAAAAAGAATGGCAACATACGCAAATAAAAGAAGGGTCGAGGGACCGCCCCTAGAAGAGGGGGACCCCGTCTACCTTTTGCGAAAAAACATCAAGACAAAGCGACTAAGCACAAAACTGGATCATATCAAACTAGGACCGTTCAGAATCAAGGAAAAGATAGGGAAGGTCAACTACCGACTAGAGCTTCCTAAGAACATAAGAATTCATAATGTATTCCATGTTTCATTACTTAAACCAGCACTAAAGGACGCTAAACCAGTCAAATCACTACCTTTAGACGAAGGAGTTACAACGGAAGAGTACGACGTGGAAAGAGTGCTCAGGAGACGCGTCAGGCGTAGCACTCCCCAGTACCTAATTAAGTAGTTAGGATATGACGAGTCGGAAAATAGTTGGGAACCGGAGGCTCACCTTACGAAGGAAACTCTAAAGGAAGCTCAGAGGTAACACCCTAAGTGGTTTCACCAGACAGTATAGCTTCCCAATTAACCTACTCGACGCTCGGAGCGTCGGACTAAGCAAAGTTAGGCTCAGCCAGAGCCACCTCTTCGGAGTCAGGCAACTTATCGAAGACACCCAGCGCCTGCATCTCACGACGTAACATTCGACTCGAGACCTCCTCTAAGCGGGAGAGGTCGTCTTGTAGGGAACCGTCCTCCTCTTCTACATTAGCCAGCGCCAGCTAGGCGTCCGCCATCGCTTTACGTAAACGGGCAATTTCTTTTCGCTTCGCCCGTGACTTTACAACCAATTGTTTCTTTTATTCCCCCACTTTTCGGAATTCTTCCATCGAAAAGGTACCGTCACATTTTCGCTGTTTCCGGAGACATTCGGCACAAGAAGACGACTGCTCGCGGTCGTAGTAACAGACAACCCCGTAGTTAACGCACTCGGTGTAGGCCACCATTGCGATGTTCTCGGGATCGGTAGAGATGGAGTCGGCGAGTTCGATACGACGCTCACTTTGAGTTTTCACCGGTTTTGTGGAACGACGAGGTTTAACTATACGGAAGGACTGTATGGTTAGCCATGGCGAACAAAGAAGAAGGGAAGAAGACGAGAGACGATGGAGGGTGGGCGCGACCTACCTTAAGTACGTTGAGGACAACGAACAGGAAGGAGGGGAGATGGTGTTAGAAATGGCCTTCATATGACCTAGAGCGCGGGGCGCCCGGAGGCAGGTCTGCCGGGGCGGCAGCCTGACTACACAAGGCTAGGTCACGTACTGCACGTGACTACCCAAAGGAGAAATGTTCGATATGTTAGTATGATGGTATACTACCATATCAACATATCAACATACCATTCCCAGTTGCCTATTCGGGATATGCCTCATAAGTATATAGCTACGCTCATTCCCCTTTCATAGTTACACTCTCTCGTAGCCAACTCATGACATCTACTTCACTATACTATTCTGAAGTCACTCGACTATTCATACCTTGCGTACTCTCGACCCAGCTCATGTAATAAAGGAACTGTGACTGAGGAAGCCTAACTACGTTAGGCCATACAGGAAGCAGCTCTGACACTAGACTAGGCTACTTTAGTATTTAGTGTAGATAATGCTTAGCGGTATACGCTTCAACGCCTCGAGATAGGGTATTTTCAGACTTCGATATCTTAATAACGCGACTAGCTATAGAGATAGGGAGACCTACGTTAGATAGAGGAAGAAAAATAATATATAAATACCTATAATAAAAGAAAAATATCTAACGGAGAACGTTAACCTTAAGGGGTAGAAGAAGGATAGAGATAGTCCGCGATACTCTTAAACTTACGTAGGTATACGCGTAGATCTTCCTAGTTACTTTAAGGTCTATTCTTAAGGAATTCTAGATAAGTAGTTATTAAAATTAGTTATTCTTTATTATTATCTTCCTATTCTCGTAGTATTTCTCGTTAGATCTCCTTCTAGTCTTTCTAGCGATATTTAGGTAAGTTTCGAACGATATTAGTCGTAGTCGAATAGTAGAATCTAACTATACTCTTAATACGTTCTTCCTCTAGCTATTAATAATAAATTAATAGTTTTTCGAAATCTTCGAGGAATTAAGTTATATTCTTTCCCTTAAAGTAAGGATATCTAGAAGTTTCGCTACTTAATTAAGGTATCTATAATAAAATAAATCTAGTTATCTATAGCGCTATTCCGGACGACGCTAAAGTACTCTATACTAACTTCGAGTCCGTAAAGAGAGATAATTTATTATTATCTCTTATAGTATATCTTTCTCTCCTCTCTACCGTTATTTCTATAATATCTATAATCGTCTAAAGAACTAAAATAACTATAGTTTTTAACTAACTAAATAAACTAAAGATTTATACTAGGAGAATCTAGTAAAAGTTCTTAAGGACCTTAGAATACCGTTATAGACTTAATAGTAATATATATACCTCGCTTACGGCCTTTAATCTTAATATCCTTACTTACCTTACGTTATAGCCTTCCTAATTAACGTAAGGACTTCTAGAGGTATATCGTCTTAATCTAGTAGATCTATAAGTTATATATCGATCGCTCTTTTATACTTAAGCTTCTAAACTTTTTAACTAACGACTCTATCTCTTCTACTTCTATAGAAGTATTCTCTCTAGTTTATATCCTCTATTATTTTTATACCTTAAGCTTAGTCGCTTACTAGATTTCTAAGGAAAGGGTTCTTAACCCTTTTACTAGGAACGCCTCTATCTTCCGCGATTCTATCCCGAAATAACCCGTTAATTATATTTAAATTATAGAGGAAAAGGCTTTCTTAGTCTTTCCTTCTATAATTAATTATAATTTATTTTTAACGTTCTTTTAGAACGACTTTAGCTCGTATTAAATCCTACTTATATACCGATAGAACGCCTTAAGCTCCTCGAAATAACCTCTATCTATAGATTATTAGAGTTAAACGGACTTCTACTAGTTTTTTAGTTATTAACCTCAAATAGAATTATCTAATTACCGCCTTATCTAGAGAACTCTTCCGTAGAGTACTTCGCTATACTATATCGCTAACTTTACCGCTTTACGACGTAGTACCTTCTTAAGATATTATAATTCTCGTTATAATTCTTTCGATTTCGAGCTAAGAATAACTCTTAATAGAGGTACTAATATACGAGGATCGGTTAAGGTTTAGCGTATACGTATAATAACGTATAGAGGCCTATCTAGTAGGTTAGTAGTCGTAAGAGGTTCCTTAATTAGGATTTAGCCGCTAGTACGTTTAATCTTTAGAGTTAACGTCTAGGTTATACTATAAGGTATCGTAGGCGGTAGAAGAGATTAGATAGTAGTAGCGGTAGTAGTAAGAGAAATATAATATAATAAAGACTTAGTTATTATCGACGCCGCGTAGAATGATGATCCTCTCTACCTATCTTCTTCTTAAGTTCTCTTAGTAATACTTAACGGAAAACTCATATTAAGTCTTCTATATAGTCACGTGACTGTACTATCCTTCTTTCGACCTACCCAGCCCATTACAGTATATTAATATATTGTCCCCTTCCCTTTCTAGTAGTTACGTATAGTACGTAACCTAGCCTTATATTACTAGGCTACTACCCTAGTAGACCTACCTCTAGGCGCCCCGCGCTCCAGGTCGTATAAAGGTCGTTTCTAACACCTAGTAAGAGAGTGTACGGATTAAGGACAAGGCTAAGATTACGTAGATTACGTAACTTCTAAAAAGGGAAATATACGGTATATTAGTATACTAGACTAGACTATATTAGTATATTAATATACTATCTTTAGTTACCTATTCGGGGTAGACCTTATAAGTATATAGCTACGTTTATTACCCTTTTATAGTTTACACTCTCTTATAGCTAACTTATAATACCTACTTTACTATACTACTCTAAAGTTACTTAACATTTATACCTTAGGTACTCTCGACCTAGCTTATGTAATTAAGGAACTATGACTAAGTAAGCCTAACCTAGTTAGGCCTTACAGGAAGCAGCTCAGATACATTAATCCATTACATGATTAACGAAGGGGGTTCGTAGAGGCATTTATTTCCTCTTATATAGAACTACCCTCATAATGCTGCTGAGCTGACACTATTAGAGTAGTCAAAAATAACATACTCCTTTGTGATGAAGCAGTGTGACCTGCCCATATCAACAAACCGCCTTTCATCTTTAACCATAGCTTCATCAGCCTTCTGAGCTTCCTCTGTGGCCTGACTCTTGCCTGGGTCGTCGAACCACACTTCTGTGATCCCATCAAGTGGCGCCGCTAGCCCACGGCCTTTGCCTATGCTGGCATTAAGCTCAGGGGCGATCGTATGACTCTGTATATACTTGGCCATATTTGACACATCCGCAAATTGATTCACGAATGGCCCATGATCTTCTAGCCACGTCTTATGGCATGCTTCTTGACTGAGGTTGTCTCGCCTCGTCAACAGGTAGGTACACTTGATAGCCTGGCCTCCCAAGGGCTTCTTGTCGGTGTAGTCGAAGATGACATGTTCTTTCGTCATGAACACGCGGGACTTCTTGACATCGATAAATTTATCCTCGTCAGCCGATAACTCAGCAGCAGCGGCTTGTCCATCAGGTGTTGAAAGGCCTGCTTGGAAATCCTCGACACTATCCCACCACACTTCTGTGATCCCCGCAACTGGACCGAGCATATTGCGGGCGCTGCGTAGCGCCTCGTTGATCGGTGTCTCGATTAGATGGCTTTGCACGTATTTCTTGGCGCGAATTGCTTTCGCATGGCGACGAACTAACGGTCCATGTTTGTTCAGCCAGTAATCGTAGAAGGCTTTCTCTGGCATATCTGGACGTCTCTCAATAACATAGACGAGCTTGATCATATTGAAGGCTCTGCGATGGTAAAATGCGTTATGCAAGCTTATAGTATCGATGTGTATATGACTCAATAGTTAATGATGCAGTCTTGACAGCTCTCTATTTACCCTCTACTTTGATATATGCGGAATGAAGTAGAAGCCTCGGTTACCCTCCCCACTTCCTACTAGTACCTCATGACATTCCATACAGAGACTGATACATAGATCCGAGGAATAGACTATAAAGGGCGGGTTAAGCCTCATGGTTAGCGAGGACGGCGTCGGTTAAAACGACTCGTAAGAGAGGTGTAGGATGACGAGGTCCATTAGATCAAATTAGTAATTGCTTCCTGCTGATTGTTGCAAGATTCCCCGACAATGCCCAAAGCACGATCGAACTTCGACGCCAGTCGACTTCTGGATAATGATTGCGACATTATGGATGAGTACAACACTGTCGTGGACGGTACCTTAGACATGAGGAGAAAGTTTTCTTTCATCGTGAGCTAGCATAATCCTTTTAGGAGGGCAAGCTCAGCCTGGCAGCCCATTCCTGATGACGGTGACTTTCAGGCTGCTTTCTCTTCATGCCGATGGATTAAATGAAGAAATCGAGGCTACTCTCATTATAGCACGGCTGAGCCAGCAGCCCAGCTATGAGCCGCTGCCGTATAACTGGGAGTCACCGTAGGGGCCATTGCGCCAAGCCACTCGAGCAAGCAGTTGGAGTGTTGCACTTGATCTCAAATCTCCCCCAAGCGTCGGTCGACCCAGGCTTATGTTATCACACCACATGTACCGGAGGCACCCAGGAGGCTTCCAGGCCTCGGCGCTGCGCCTTGTCCCGAGGTTGCCGGAATTATGCAGTGTCGTGTCTTGTGTACCCGGTACTCTGTACAAACTACCTCGCATACTCCCGACCAGCGCCCCTTAGTCCCCGCAACCCGGCGATTCTTTAGGCACTCTGGGGTGGCCCCCAGGCTTACTAGACTTCGTGCGCTTCATGCTCATAACATGCACCACGCTACAGTAGCATGCACCATTAATGCACGGTATTGTAAAGCGTTTAGAGTCCCCGTCAAATGGACCCTGCCTTATTTTGGCTCTGACTGACTCCCAATAAGAACGCCTAATGTCTGAAAGTTAAGAATGGTTGGTTTGGTGGTTCGTAAGTGAGGGGTGCGCCAAGGGGCCCTGAAGTCTGGGGCAAAGGACCCCCAAATCATCAATTGACACCAATCTCTACGTTACACTTCCACACCTAGTATTGTGAGCATTGCAGAAGATAACGATAAAGTCAATGCTGACGAAGCACGCAGTCTACCCTTCCGCAGATAGAAGACATAATGGACAGAGCGCAGATGCCAGTCCCGGCCTCAGAAGCCATGCCTAGGACAAGACGTTCTCTTGCCTGTAACTTTTGCAGGGTCAAAAAAGTTCGATGTAGGCAGCCGAGATCCCGATATCGATTGCTTCTGACAGCTTCCAGGTGATGGAGGCAATCCATGCGTGTATTGCCGAGACCGCAATGTAGCCTGCACTTGGCCTTCAGCACGGCGAGTGAGGCCAAAAGACAGACAAAAGGAGCAGGAGAGATCAGCCGAGCTCCTGACGAGACTCGAAGCCTTACTACAGGCAAACAGCAATAATACAGAGAATACCAAAATCCTCGAGACTGCAGACGAGCAAGGTAAATCTTCAAGTTCAGGCCTCCGACCTCAGCACGAATTCGAGATGACTGCGGCACAGCATAGGACCGCTTTTGCCAGCGATATCACCTTGGAGCGTGCCTCGCGAGCTTCTTTGGAGACATACACGACTGCACCTTCTGACACTTTGATCACGTCCACCACAGAAATGGCACTGGGCCGGGATGCCATGGGAGCTCCTGATGCGCCACCAGAAATCCGTCCCTCTCAACAGCAAACCCCCATATCGACCTCAAGAATCACTCCAATGCCTGACCCGCACGTGTTCGGCATCGTCGATAAGTCGACAAACAGTTCACCTGGCTGGTCACGGAGCGAAGCCATCAAATCGCCGCGCTATGACGATGGGAGGGTCAGGGTTGATGGTCAGGAGGAGCGTAGTATTGACAAACAGGAGAGAAGCAGTATCTATTCTGCCGAATCGGTAGGTGCTTCCACGCTACTGTCACATCCGCCCGACGAGGCTAATCTTGCATCAGTCATACTACGAGTACCATGGTAAGTCCGTCATTCTGATGTCTCTCACACTAGCTGCTCAACGCTGTCAGGTCCGAGGTCCTTTCTGTCGATATGTTCAAAGCCGGGCATCCAATGGGTCACGGATCGATGCGGATGCTCGGGATTCCAGGAATCTGCGATTACCTTCACACGGGAAATAATGCGACCGCTCAAGATGGAAAAGAGGATGTCTCCCGTTCGTGCCCCCGAGCCGAGCGCAAATGACGCCTGCGTGTATGCGAGATGTGAGACTTTCATCTTCGTCTTGCATCGGAGAATGCTGATCCTCGCGACACTAGGTTTCTTCGAAGCAGCGCCGGCAGCCAGATTCGGGGTTGTGCAGCAGTCGTGGTTTGAGTCGAGACTGCGTGCCCATCTTAATGGCCTCGATACCAGCGAAGATCCTGCCTGGTACGCATTGAGGAATATCATCTACGCCACGGGATCACGCTTGCACCTTGCCAAAACTGCAACATTCCAGGAGGCATCTCAAACATCGTGGGAATTTTTCGAAAATGCACTATCCATGCATACGGAGATCTTATACTTTCGAAGCTCTCTCATCGGCGTGCAGGCTCTTTCGCTCATGGTAAGCAAGGCAAATCTCCGCCACCTCCGCCAAAGACACATCCACTGACAGAGGGAGGCTTATTTTGTGGACGAGCTGGGCAGCCCAGCGCTGGAGTACATGCTATGCTCCAACGCTCTACGGCTAGCTTGCTCGAAGGGCCTACATCGGCAGGCCGTGGCTTCTTGGGGGTTGACAGATCAAGAAGCATGCCATCGAGACTGGATATTCTGGGCCATATATTGCCTGGAAAAGAGTATCGCCTCACGTTCAGGTCGGCCGTCTGTGAGTGGCCGGAGATTTCACATAAATTAATCTTCTAACTGAGTGTGCCTAGATCACGGATGACAACGATATCAGTTGCCCGATCCCAGTCTGTGGGCCCATTGGAAGCTCCGTGGACGTGGTGTATTGTAACATGCTCATTCGCCTCTCTCAGCTATCGTCACTGGTGAATAAGCAGCTGTCCAGCGTTCAAGCTTTCCAACTGAAGCCTGGCGAGACGATCAAAACTGTTGTTGCCTTGGATCAACAGCTCAGAGCACTCAAAGACTCGATGGCATACGTTTTTCGTGTCGCTGCCCCAATCAATCCAGCTACATTGCCGTCGAGTATCAAGCTGAACCAGGCGCTCCACTTACAATTCATGTACTACAACCTGCTGTCCGAAATTCACAATGCTTTGACGTACCCCTGGTCTCAAACGATGCTCAGGCCACAAGACAACTTCGAGGATCGAAAGCAAGTCGAGGCCTCGCGCTCCATTGTGGCCGAAGCTGCTCGTGCGCTAATCCTAGCAACTAAATGGGTCCATCTGGATGCCAATTGTCCGATACTGTAAGTAAATGGTTTTCATCAATTCTGAGTGGTCCTTTTCCATGATGGATACTGAAGATTGTCTAGGCTCGCTTTCTCAGCTCCTATCCAGGCCGTCATCGACCTCTTTATTCATATCTTACAAGCTCCCGAGAGCCCGACTGTCCAATCTGATCTCTCATTACTGGACATCGGAGCAGGCCATTTTGCCCGAGTGGAATTTGCTACAAATTCCGAAATATCCACGTCATTTGTCAAGCAACTTGCCTCGTTTGCCCGTGTGGCCGTCAAGCATGCAAAAGGTGCGGTCCAAAATAGTGGTGGCCCAAGTGCTACTCGGGGCTCTGTAGGCGTTGAGAATATCTCAAAGGAGATCGACATGATGTGCAATCAGAATCACCTACAACATGGTGACATGACTCAAGAGGTAGGGGGAACGTCGCTACGCCCAGTGATGCACGGTACTGACCTCTTCAAATTAGGCTCCTGATTTCGAGCTCTCTGATTTCCAGCCAGAAAGTCTTAGCATGCTACTTCCGGGCCTTGACCTAGATACGGAGACGAACGATTTCTTTAATTGGGAGCTATAAAAGTGGACGAGTCGTGGCCACATGCGCGGGACAAGGTTCCTAGGATACGGATCGATATCGCCCGTGCCCTGGGGTTCTACCACAACTCAATTGCGCCCTCATTTCTTCAGCGCGAGGCTATCGTTGACAGCGATCCCCGAAGAGAAGTCGGCCAGCTTTGTCGCCATGTCCACTGGAAACGAGTAATGCTCGTGGATATATTGCCAGCCATTGCTTGTCTTTTGCATCAAACTTGTAATGCGAAAGTGCAGATCAAAATCGTTGCCGTCCTCTGCCTTGCCCCAATATCTTTCGAGCGCAGTCGCGTACGCGAAAGTCTCGCTCACGGCGACGATCTCCAAATCCTTGAACGCAACGTGCGCATCTTTGAGATACAATGTGACCTTCTCATAGTGGGCGCGAAAGTCCGGCCGGTTCGTGCATCCCATGAGATCAAAGATCATCATGTCGTCGAGCTCCCAGAATCGCTTGCCGCCGTGTGGATCTTCCAAGCACTCGTAATTGCAAAAGCGCGAAAAGACTTTGTAATGTTGAAGCACCTCCTCCTCGACATGCTTCAAATCGGGATTATGATACTGTATGTCTCGTTAGCACGTGGCAGAGCGCAGCGTGGCTGTCTGTTCCAACCTTAGACGGTCCTCCTGGGAGGTGGCCATGGAGTTCATCGGTGGTGGTCAAGGTCGTCTGCAAAAGACTTCAGTGACTATCCATGCAAAGCCACTCAATGTGACGAAAATTCTCATCTGCAGCGGCTACATACTTCATCTTTCCATACCGACATGGTTGCTGGGCACTTGATAATATGTGCGAGTTACTGATCTACTCGAAAAGAACCTCACAGACAGACAACGTGTAGATATTATGACTACCGGACAACCTGTCTATATTTCACCTCCCGCAAGCCGGATACCTCTTTCTCCGGGCATGACAACTTCGGGTCCAGTCTTCCCCGTCTCGGATCTTTGTGCAACTTCCGGGAATATTAGTTTACACCCTGTTGGAATTACGTGGCTCGGTCTTGGAGCTTGATATCCTGTCAAGCCATCGCAGTGCAGCCGAAGCCGGTAGTGGTAACAGTTACAACGGATCCGGCATCGAGCTCTAGGAAAGGAGCTAGTGGTACATTCAATCCGTCGTTCGAATGAGAGATTCTGCGATATTCTCATGCTCTGCCATCGGTGGTGGCGCACGATGTGCGAGAACGGGTTCATATCACGACTATGCAAACCCTCTTCGGCCCTGAGATGTAGATTCTACCGACTAGAGATTCACTGGAGAGTCAAAATGCTCAAACCCGTTATCGAACATGATTTAAGTTCGATACGACTTTCATGCGGTAACTCATTCTTGCCCACCGTACAGAACTGCCTCAGGTCTGTTGCAGTAAATGTGGGCAATGGAGCACTTTCTACCTTTCGTCGTAGAGAAACCAAGCCCTCCCTCGAGCTCAATGGGCGCTCTTAGCTTCGACCTCGGGAATATCGACGCTCACTTCCTCGACCTGCTCGTAGCTGTTGCGTTTTGAACCTCCAGGCAGAACAAGCTGCTCCACCGCGACGACTTTATCACCAAAGACAGCTCCGAGCTGCTCGAGAGTGTACCCACGGGTCTAGATAGTGCAATGATCAGCCTCCGCAACTCCCAAGTCTCCTGCGGCGAAAAAGAGGGACTATAAATTACCTCGGGCCACCAAATGGCGACGATGATGCCCATGACGGCAGAGAGAACCGCAAAGACGATATAGTAGCGCCAGCCAATGTGGGCTAAAGCCGTTGGAGTCACTGCCGTGAGGATCAAAGAGATCATGAACAGCCCCGACATTCCAAGCGAGACTCCCTGGGATCTCATGTAGCTGGGGTAAATCTCGGAGACGTAGATGAAAGAAGTTGCCTCGATGAATGTTGTGATCCTGCAGAAAACAAGATCAGCAAAGATTGAAGAAATCGGCACAAATAATTGACCGACCAGATAAGATCCAAGAAAATGAAAAATACGACGGCGCTGTTGCCTGCCTTGTTCGCCGTGCCAGCGTACAGCTTGATCAGGACAGCGACACAAATCATCCAGGCACTTGCGCCGGAGTATCCAATCACTACAAGTGTCAGCGGTAGAAATCATCAATCAGAAAGTCGAGCTTACGTAGCAATGTACAGCGGTTAACCTTGTCGTTCAGCCAGCCGCCGATGAGGTTGCCAATTGGATTCAAAACGGTCCAGGCGGCAAACAGCAGTGCAATGGTAAAGGGCCCATAGCCGAGAGTACCGAAGATGACTGGACCATACGCTGTGGGACAATAGTCAGTGAGAAGGCCAGATTCAAGCTCAGGCGAACCATGTACTCACCAAGGATGATGAGTGTCCCAATACACTGCGTGCCAAACATGGTGATAAAGCCAATGACCAACCGTTTTCGGAGCGGCGGCTGTTTCACCATTTTCCAGAGTGACGTTTTCGAAGGAGTTTCAAAATCGATTTGAGCCTTAAGAATCTGGTACTCTCGGTCCGCAAACTCGTGTGATTCGGACGACTTGCTCGAATGCAGTCGAATCAACACCTTCAACGCATCTTCCGAGCGACCCTTCATGTACACTATTTGGTGTCAGCCATTACCCCGGTTCCTGTTCGGGTTGCTGGTGCACAAGACTCACACCAACGAGGGCTTTCTGGAAGGAGCCAAATGAGTCCTAGGATCAGAGCTGGAAAGAGGCATTGGATTGCCAGTGGTCCTCGCCAGCCACCTGAACCGTTGACATGGTAGAAGGCAACGCCAATCCACTGGGCCACAAGCGTTCCCGTACCGACTTGCGCGCCTAAGACAGATGCTTTAGCTAATGTCGATCTGTATTGAGAGGAGCCGCCTGCTTACCGTGCAAGCCCACCAAGAATCCGCGCATGTTGGGTGGCGCAATCTCAGCCTGGTACAGAGGAACACCGCACATGAAGAAGACAGCGCCAAAGCCGGATATGAAACGAGCTACAATGAACATGGCTGGATGGACGGATCCAGTCTGCAGCGCGCCACCGATAATGGTAATGATGGATCCCACGGCAATAGGCGTTCGACGACCCCATCGGTCGGACACATATGGGTAGAACAGGTTGCAAATCAGAGAGCCGACGTAGAACAGACATTGCATGGCGGCGATCAGGGCATTGGAATGGTCGAGCCCTGGACCCGAAGTGACGAGTCCAAAGTACTCATACCAGTCCGGCTTGCTCAAGGTGCTGCCGACGATGGAGATGAGGTAGCCATAGGAGATCGAGCCCGTCGCTACGGTCAGCGCGACCTAGAAAAACTTGTCAACGCTCGGACATTGCAGTAGACCCTGCGGATACCCTACCAAGGTATTGTAAGAGGTTTTCCCTTGCGACATCGTGATGGGAGCAGAGTAGTATGGCAACAGTTTAGGAGAACTCCTGGGTGGTTGCTCTACCAGGAGGATATCGCTTGATAAAACGGTCGAGGAGCCAGCCCTGATTTTGTCAGTTGGCTCACCATCTCTGTTAAGGGTCATCGTGGCTCGGTGGATTCGGTAGCAGGGCAACCTTCGTCCAGCCTCCCCATGGGGAGGGAATGCTGCTGTGGGCGACATCTGGGGCTGCTTCCGGGCCACCTTTCGGTCCGAAATAGCCATTGCATCCGAATGTGTCACCATTGGGAGTGTTCTCGATAGCTAGACGACTTTTGGCCAAAGTGGCCTTTTCTGAATGGGCCACTACACTACTTTCTTATAAGCCAGAACTAATTAGACGACGGAGGTGCCGCGGGCTGGACTGTGCAAATTAACATGGCCGATAAGCGTCATGGCCTGTGCATAATGTGTTGACCTTGCCATGTGAACAGGCTGATCACTATTGTCTACGACAATCAACAATATAATCATGTACCTAAGCTTCGCTGGGGGCTCTGTAGTACACCGTTGTTTCTGGACCACCGTCCGTTCAAGTCAACAAGTATCCGGCGTCAATTACCTCAGTGGTGCCAGTGATCGATCGATTCTGTGCCAGGTGGACAATATGGTCTGCGACATCCTATTGACGAAGATGGTCACCTCAGTAGCAGCGCATGGCCCAGGGTCAGGGACTCACCTCCAAGGTAATAATCATCTTCAGAGGGTTTTTCTCTCGGACAGCATCGTGCATCGTCGTGGGAAATTTCATTCCCCATTCCTTATTCGACAATCAGCGCGCGTCAAAGTTCATGGTCAAGTGTCTGTTACAAACCGTAAGCATGAGGCTAGGCGCGACCGTGCTAACACGGATCTTAGGAGCAGCGATTAATGCCAGGGATTTAGCTCCTGTACCCATCTATAACTAATCCCCATCCGATGCTCCAGACGATAAAGAGAAACACTACGCGGGCATGCTAGGCGAAGATTAGCTGAAAAGTTTCAAGAAAATGTCGAAGCGGGAAGGCGATAGAGAGGCTGCTACCCTTAAAAACACTGGAGACCCACTAGTTAGCGACGACGATATAACTCTACGTAACGTAAGTAGTGAAGATGGTAAAGATGAAAAAGATAAAGTAGACGATAAAGATAAGGAATACGATAAGGATGATGAAGATAACGACGAAGACCTTCTCTAGAATATAGATATAATATATATACCTATCAGTAGAATTATAAAAGGCGACTAGAGGGCTAGAAGCCTTAGTTCTATAGACGGACTATTTAGCTCCGATTAGGAGTACGCTCTACTATATTACCGCCGTCTCGCTTTTAGGACGTGAATTTAGGCCTAAGGAAGATTTAACGGCGTCGGTTTAACCTAGGAGAAAGAGTCTATAGTTAGGGTAGGTCTATACTTCGAGTTCAGACGCTAACTACGAAGTACTAGGACGTAGACTTATATATACATGACTAATATTAAATTTAAGGACTTCACCTGGAATTACGTACCTCTTACGTATGAGACCCTTATGTTACTCGAACTAATCTCTAGGTGCCATTAGTTAGTAGGAGATCCTCTTGATCCTCTTACCCGGGTTTACTTATAAAGTAAGTTCGAATGCTTGTTCCCCCTACTCGGCTTGTAAAACAGGCCGGAACATTCGATTTGAGCTGCTTTAGTAACGGCGTAGGCCGAGGAGGTGTTCAGCTTAGCACCGGCAAAGTCATGATAGAAAAAAAGCTTACTAGGCAGCTGCCGCCGGGCTTGATTCCAGAGAGCGAAGATACTGTGGTGAACGATCCGCAGGTGGCCTCGAGATGATTTTTGGCCGCATGGAACAGGAACACGGGCGACTTGACGTTCATGCTGAAACAGTGGTCCCAGTCGTCCTCGTTGACATTCTCATCGAGATTCATGAAGTTGGTGAATGTCGTCCAGCCATGGTTGGACACTACCATGTCCAGCCTTCCCATGTGCTGGATGGCCTCGTCCACCAGTCGTTGTATGTCGGACCGTTTATTCAGGTCAGCCTGGATGGCACCATATTGTTTGGTGCCCGGCGTGTCTCCGTTCGAGGGTGAGCCTGGATATTGCGCGTTCAACTCCTCGATCAGTGCGTCTGCCTTTCCGCGGCTATTGCAATAGTTGATAACGACTCTTGCCCCGAGTTTCGCGAGTCTCCTTGCCACTGCAGCCCCCAGTCCAGCTGAACTGGCGGTGACGAGAGCGACAAAGTCACTTTCAGATGTAGACATTGTAGGCTAGGTCATCAATGAGCGACAAAGTGCGTATCGACGAATATGACGCTGGTGACTGCTCCGTCGAGGCAGGAACGAGATGATTGCTTCATCACGCCAACAGTCGCCCATGCGGCCGGGTTAGACCTGGGAGCTTTCCCGGCGTCCAACCGAACACCCTGGGTTGACTGGGCGATGAACTTGCCCTCGCTAAGATTTAGAAGAGCTTGGCTTTGAGGCCAAAGCGCGACTACAGGGGACTAATTTGCCAGGCACTTGAATTATGAATAATGCACCCACGAGACAGTCGAAGATTGCGGGGGGAAGAGCCTTACTGTCAAACTCGGGCACCGGGCCGGACTCTCGGAGTCGGTAGAAAGTTCGGTCCGGCAAACTGTGGGGGAGTTGAATATGGGGAAAATGGGGAACGCCAAACCGCACAGAGCCAAGCACAGATTGATTAGTATCCCGAGTATTCTATATGGCCAGGGTTAATGGTGGTAGGGTTTGCGTGCTAAATCCCATACGATACCTCGTTGTCGCCTCAAGAATCACGTCTTCCCACTCAACACATTGCCACCAACGATGACTTTTGCTCTCGGGCTCTTTTGGCCCTCAGTGGCCCTGGTGGTAGGTCTCGTGTACATGGGAGCGCGACTGCTGCGCGTAGGCATGCGTGAGGAGGGTCTGCCACCTGGTAAGAAGGCTCAACGCTACCGTCAACGCTCTGCTTGGGCAGCACTACTGCCAAAATGCTAACCTCCTGGTGTCAGGGCCGCCGACGCTCCCCATTTTAGGCAATCTACATCAAATGACGGATAAACCATATCTCATGTTTGAAAAATGGGCAAAGCAGTGTAAGAAATTTCAAGCAGGAATGCTTGTTGACGTCGGAGTGAGCTTATTCTTTCAGATGGTCCGATTATGTCGGTGAAGTTAGGAACACAGACGATGATCGTGATCAATACCGAACAAGGGATTCGCGACCTGTTCGAAAAGAGAAGTGGCAATTACTCGGCCAAGGCGTCAAATTTCGGCGCTGAATTTGGCGAAAACCTCAACTTACTCTTCAGGACGTAAGTGGGCGCGCCCCCTGTCCCGGCCCATTGCTTGACTGATAAACGGCGACAGCAACGATGACGTGTGGCGCCGGATGCGCAAGATGTATCACCTCCGCCTCAACATCACCGCTGCTAACAACTATCTTCCATATCAGGTGGGTTTCCGGGCATCTTGGAGAGCATTCTTAGAGAGCTGATCTGATGACTATGCTCAGGAGTTTGAGAGTCTGCAGATGTTGGACGAGCTGTTGGACAGACCACAAGATTTCTGGACTGTCCTCAAGAGATACACCACGAGTATTGGGGCGACGGTCATTTTCGCCAAAAGATACCCGGATCTCGAGGACCCCAGGGTCAAGGCACTCTACACGGTGAGCTCATTTTTCAATGGCGTGTAGCTGGCAAGCCTGAATAACAGATGAGCAGTGGCTCGAGAGATTTTCGGCCCTGATGGAGAAGACATCTTTTGCCGACTGGTACCCAATCTTGAAACCGTTCTATTTCCGAGCCCCTTCCTGGATCAGTGGTTTTCTGAAGGAAGCGGCGGAACTGAAAGAAATGGAAACGAAACTGTGGATGCAGCTGATTGGCGAGGGGCAAGAAATGCTTGATCAAGGCAAGATGAGACCAAGTGAGTGGTGATGCAGTGACCAGGCAAACATCGATATCGGCGACTAAACCCCATCAGGTTTTGCCAGAAATCTTCTCTTGACCATAGGTGCCGAATCTGGACAGATTGCGAAATCGGATGCTCTCACGTTCAAGCAGATCGCATTCGTGGTTGGCCATGCGTGGCCTGCAGCAGCGTAAGCCAGAGCCCCCAGCGACAGAGGCGGACTAATTTGACTCAACAACGCAGGGATACCACCTACAGCACCCTCATGGGCTTTGTAAAGGTAGGTGACTCGACGTCCTTCATAACACCTAGCTAACGGTACGACAGGCCATGGTTCTGTTTCCCGAGGTCCAGAAGCAAGCACAAGAGGAGCTCGATAGAGTCGTGGGAAGCTACAGACTTCCTACCTGGGAAGACTCCCCGAACCTGCCTTATATCATGGCGTGTGTCAAGGAGTCCTTCAGGTGTACGACATGTGGAAGTTATGCTGAGGACCTGTAATGCTGATCTCTCGGCAGGGATGCCAACAACAGTCGCAGGAGGCGCACCTCACGCAGCAACGAACGAGGATAGTTACTTAGGCTACCGAATTCCCGCAGGAGTCCCAGTTGTGAACAACGTGAGATGCAGCAATATCCCCTTGTCCTACTTGAGACGTGAAAACACAATCTAACCCTCGAGATCAGGTCTGGAGCATCAATAACGATCGAACGACTCCTCGTGATTTTGAGCCCCGCCGACACTTGCCGGGCCATAAGTTTCCCCCCGTCGGCGCGCCCATCGGATCAGATACATCCGACAAGCCTTATACTACTTTTGGCGCGGGACGGAGAATGTGTCCTGGTATTCATGTTGCTGAGAGGAGCCTGTATACGGCCGTCGCTCGCTTGTTGTGGTCCTTCAACATGAAACCGGCCGTAGACGAGAAGGGTAATGTTGTTCCGATCGACCGTGACGGCATGACACCAGGTTTCATGGTCACCCCTGTGCATTACAAGTAAGTTTGCCATTTCGAATTCTGATTGAATTATATACCTGGGAATATATGGCTGACGGGCTTATCTCATGGAGCAGCATGGTGTTTGAGAGTCGAGATGAAGAGCGAGTTGCACTGATCCGGCGGTCTTGGAAGCAAGCAAAAAGCTTTCTGGAAGAGGATGGGAGCTACAATGAAGCGTTCTTTCAGCAGTCCTTCGCGACTCAGTCACTCGCTTGAGGTGCACAGCTATATGTGTGTCCTCAAACAATGCGGCTACTCCAACAAAGTTCTGGGCTATGCACAATCTTCGAATCTACTCCTGCAAAAACTCTGAAATTTTCTGGTGCGATCCAAAAAGAAAAGGATATATAAGCTTGAAAATGAGACGCTGTGGAAAGGCCTCTGTGCAAGCTCTTTCTTGAACTTTCGAAGAGAAATTATGTACTTGGGTTCTCTGTCAGCGCAGCCGATCAATAGTAGTCGTTCGTTCCACGAGCTCGTCCCAGCTCGCCACTCCTATCCTGTGCTCAACAGCCTGGAAATCCAGTCCTGCATATTGTGGCTTGTACGCTCACAATGCCCACTCTGGTAACCCTCTTGGGCCGTTCTCGATGCGCTTCTTGATCGACCGGTGATCCTCTCCACTTTCCAATCTCCGTATAAGCTCCTCGGGATCAAAGTCAGTGCCGATAGGATTCTCTGCAAAGGCTCTAGATGCCATAAAAGCGTTGGCCTCATCGACAGTATCGAAGTTGTCCACCTGAGTCTCGATCATGTTGCCATCGGGATCGGTATAGTAGATGCTAGTTGTCGGTCCGTGGTTCACACACCACGACGGCAAAATACCAGCCTCTTTACGCTGGCGATAGGCCAGTGTAAGATCATCCAGGGTATTAAAGGTAAAGGCAATGTGCTCAAGACCAGCCGATTTCGGCACCTTAGGCCCAGTACCGGGGACGGCGACAATCGCGACGCGGTGGTGTTCCTCATCGTATGTCAATAATGAAAGAATCTCGTTCTCGTACGATGCCTTGGCGCCGAGGAATGTTTTATAGTAGTCGTTCATTGCCTTGAAATTTGGTGTACGCAACACCACGTGCGCCAGCGACGATGGGCTTTTGACCTCGATGTGACCCATGATAAACAGGATTGAAAAAGAAGGGACCAGTGAGTTTCCAGATTTGTTAAGAGACAGTCAACACCTGACGATAGTAAAAAAGCTCGTGCGTGTTTCGAACTGTACGGCAGGTAGTTGTTCACCACGTACGTACTGTAGCCTCTTCCCCCGCCGGACAACGTTCGGATTCAGTGAACTGTCAAAAAGATCGGCGCAACATGTCAGCCCTTTTGTGCCAACCTAGATTTATTCCAGACTTCAAAAGCCTCGCATAGAGCTGCCCGAGACCGATGGGCAGCCCGGTGTTCGGTACCCGGAGACATGTTACCGGAAGCTGGAGGATCCGGCCACAGGTCACGTAGGCTGAACGCATGTACAGCACGGTTTTTTGCATGTAGATGGTCCTCATTCTACAATCACTTCTTTCGAGTAGATTTTGAGGCTGCAACTCCTGATGCTTTTGGTTAACATGGCGGCGGATGATGGAGTTATACGCGAAGAGCTCTCACCAGATACGGTTCTCATTGCCGGAGGTGGTCCAGTTGGGCTGTTACTCGCGGCCGTCCTCTCGCGTTATGGGGTAAGATCCGTACTCGTCGAGCGGAATAAAAGTACGACACAATGGCCCAAAATGGATCTCACAAATGCAAGATCTATGGAGATCCTACGGCGACTTGGACTGGCGGAGGAACTACGAACGCACGGTGTACGAGCAGATATACCCCAGCCTGTACTTTTCTGCACGGGCCTGCCTGCTCCAAAGGCTTTGACCAGCTGGCAGCATGAGAGTGTGAGTATGCTCATCATCTCTTTCCCCGCGGAACACATTGCAACCCCAGGTTGCTTTGGAGTTACTGGAGGTTAACGCGTAGAGATACACAGGTTGACCAATTCCAAGCTCGTATCAACAGCACCAACGACGGCACGTTACCACTTGAGCCATGGCAGAGAGTGTCACAGGTTGTGTTTGAGGCTTGGCTCAAAGACCGATGCGAACACGATCCCTTGATTGAGCTGCGATACGGGTGGAAGGTAGAAGGGGTTAAGGAGAATGTCGACCAGGTCGAAACAGTCATTTCTAACGTAGATACGGGTGTCACATCAATTATTGTGTCCAAGTATGTGGCGGGTTGCGACGGCGCCAACAGCCGCGTCCGGCAGTCCCTCAAAATGCCCTTGGATGGCGGACCCATTCCAGCCTTCGTCCTGCTCGTCCACTTCAAGTCCAAGGATCTCTCGCGGCTGCATAAGCTGGGTCAATTCTGGCACATCTTCTTCTTCCAGCAGTCGGGGGAGTTTTCGGGCGCCATCATCGCCCAAGACGAAGTTGACACCTGGACGACTCACCTGTTCCTTCCCTTGGACGCGGACGAGTCCAAGATCGACTCCCACGAAGCGATCTATGAAGCTTTGGGCGGCTCTCACGGACCATACCCCATCAAGGTCGATAAAATACTGGTACGCTCAACCTGGAGACCTAACATTGCCGTGACTAGACAGTGGACGAGCCCAATGCGTCGTGTGTTCCTGGCGGGAGATTCGGCGCATCAACTCATCCCGACCGGCGGATACGGTATGAACACAGGGCTGGGCGACGCGTACGACCTGGGCTGGAAGCTGGCATCTTCCATCAAGGGCCATGGCGGCTTGGGGCTGCTTGGCTCGTACGAGGCTGAAAGGCGACCTGTCGCACTCCGCAATTCGGAACATTCTGGCGTCCACATGCAAACCCATCAATCAGTCAAACACTTGATCAACGGGTTGGACATTGCAACCCTCAATTCTGACTCCGAAGAGGCTATCGAGGCGCGTCGGAAGATCCACGAGCACTATCAGACAAACAATGGAGAAAATCTAGACTTGGGGATCGAAATGGGGTTTCGGTATCGGTCAACAGTGATCCTTACAGAGGGGGATGACATTAAAGAGCCAGAATGGAGCCCTTCTCGCTACATACCGACCACGTGGCCTGGGTCGCGACCGCCGCATGTTTTTCTGAAGGATGGAACCCCAATCTTCGACCTGTTCCACCCCACGGACTGGACGCTGGTGACGTTTGGAGAGGGCTGCGAGGGGATCGAGCACATGCTCCAGTCTGCTCAGGAGTCCAACATCCCTGTCAAGCATCTCCACCTGGTGGGAGAGACTGTGGCGGAGAAATTATGGGAGCGCAAGATGGTGCTCGTACGTCCTGACCAGCACGTTGCGTGGAGAGGAGACTCCGTTGCGTCGCTTGCCACAGCGCGTGACATTGTGGCCACCACCACGGGCAAGAAGCAAATTCAGACTGAAGCACCAAATTCCAAAGACAGCAAATTGCCCAAGCACGCGTTTACTGCGACCACTCAGCTCATGACGCAGGTCGATACCTTTGGTCTGGAAAAGATGAGCGACTTTCAGCGATGAAGCTGGAAGTTATTATTGCATTGTATCTACGGAAACCGTCTGCTGACGCAACAATATCCTGATAGAATACTTCGTCGCTTGGTATGGCATAAGTAGTAACTTGACTTGTATCTCTACCATTGCGAAGTAAACATACGCCATGATTCACTGGCTAGGACAAGTGACCGTCCTCTCGACACCGCCTTAGCCCGTCGGATTGTCTCTTACGGCCATGTATGCGTCCGTCGTGGGTTTGACTCTTGAGGGGCCCTTCTCAAGGTCATGAGCATATACAGATGATATCCTGCCAGCATTCACGAATAACAGGAGCTCAGGAAAGAATCAAGGTAGATATACCATTCAGGAAGAGGAGCTAACACGAAATAAGCACCATGATCATGCTTCGACTTTGTAAAAGTCGGGTTCGGCCTTGACACCCTCTTTAGCCATCATCTGACTAATTGTCCAATCTTCGTGAACATAGCCGTCGGGTACGTTCCTGGCGGTAAAGGGAGTTCCCTTTTCCAAATGACTAGATACAGCATCGTAGTTGGCCTCAGCATAATCTGCCGCGTCGTGGCCATAGAGCCACCTGGGCTGTGGCTGATTCAAAAATGAGGGGTCTTTCGCGACCGCATCCCAGTCTGTCTGATGCCAGCGATGTCGTAGCTCCCACCCTGCTCTTTGCGTGAGGGATGTGCGCTCGAAGCTTTTGGGGAGAAAAAGAAGAGAGCGAGTTAGCTAATAGATCGGCAGAATGACTCACGGTAGACTTACCGCAACTTCTCAAAGATTTTCAAAGCTCTTCGAATGTCCTTCTTCCCGGCCTTCTTGATCAAAACTCCGAGGGTGGCGCCGTCCTCGATAGCCTGAGCACCGCCAGTCCCGGATGTAGGTAGATGAGGATGGGCCGCATCACCCACAAGAACAATCCGACCTCCATCTGAAACCCATTGGCGGACTGGATCCCGCCAAAGTAGCTTATAGTCTATGAGGACTTCTTCAGGGATTGACTTTACCAGTTGCTGAAGAAGAGGATCCCAGCCGTCCACGACCTTGAGCATATCTTCCACTTTACCAGGCGCATTCCAGGACTCTTCGATGTCGGCCGCATCCTATAGCACAAGTTCTCGTCAGCCTTTCTGGACGGTTAATAGAGATCGAGTCGGCAGCTGCGATTTCCTGTCCGCAATTTCACCATACCTTGTGCGTACAGAAGACCGTCACGGCACGGAGATTTCTGTTGGTAGTCAGGATTGCGTGAGTATTCTCGCCAATCCATACACGGTAATCATCCTCATCGGCCTCTGCAATAGGTCTCGTCAATGGATTATCCTTGAGAGAGTCCAGATTGAACCAAGAGCGGTATACTGCGAAGCCGCTCTTCTGGGCTCTGCCCGGCTTCTTTGTCACGTGCGCCCTCGCCCGGCTATGGACGCTATCGGCCGCTACCACAACGTCCGCAATGACCCGTTCCCCGTTGAAAACAATGCCTGCGTGGTCCTCGTCCTCGAAATACTCGACGATCCGGGCGTTGAAGGTGAACTGCACTCCAATCTCCTTAGCATATTCGTACATGTAGTTCTGAACCTTGGTCCGGTTGGCGTAGCTGTTAGGAAATCCGTCAAACTCGGATGGCAGAGGTTGTTCCACCAAGAGCCTGCCGCTCTTGTCGCAGATCCTCAACCGCGTGGGAAGGGAAGAGACTCCTCGGATTTTCTCGAGCATTCCTGGCCATTGGCTGATGACGCGGGACGCGTTCGACCCCAGCATGATGACATCGCCTTGAGAACCTCCCAGTCAGTGGGAGTCAATACGGACAGAACTCTTCACATTGCGTACCTTGTCTCGACAGATCTTTCGACAGCTCGTAAACACTTACATTGCAACCGACTCTTCTGAGCGAGATGGCCGTTGAAAGCCCACCAAAGCCTGCCCCAACGACGATGACGTTGATAATGTCATGCATGGCGACCTTTTCACTATCCCTGAGTGTACATACCACGAAGCTCGTCCAGCAGACAACTTGAAGAGATTTACCATATCTGTAGCACTGCAGTGTGCCAAGTTTCCAGGCACTGCGCGAGCGACTGGATCGTTCGGGATCGGGACGAGGACTCCGAGTGCGTCAGCGAATTATCAAAGTGATAACGGGTTTGTCGAGTCTAGTCATGTCTGATTGGATGGTTGCCAGTCAGTAACATTTCCGAAGCCCCGAAGCGCCGGTACTAGGGGAATGCCTCGGGTGGGTAACGACCCCCAGTCTTTTCGGAGGCTCCCCGGAGTCTTAGCATCCGGTCCCCATGGGGCCATGAATCCGGCTGGGAGCGTTCTCCACTCATTCGCTTCCGGAAACTACAACACATGGTGGATCCACAGCAGATGGTACGATCCCCAAAAGACTGAATGTGAGCTTTCTGAGGAGTCCTTGTCAACATCGTTCGTTTTGTTGGTCTTGCGAGAATCGCTCTTGACGGCATGGCGACTGTTGACATCCATATCGTGAGCGGGGTCTTGCTGGGTTCAGTCATCTTCGGGGTATTACTATGGAAGGTGTCTCATTACGGTATGCGGCTTGACGGTTATCCGCCTGGTAAGATTTGTGACCTTGCAATATAACGCCTCGACCGCGGACTCAAACGACTGCAGGACCGCCAACAATCCCTATTCTGGGCAATCTGCATCAGCTGCCAGACTCCAACTTACATTTTTGCTTACAAAGATGGGCTCAAGAATGTAGGCCTATCTTCTACTGTCTTGGGGTTCTTGCGAGGCTGATCAGTACGAAGATGGACCGATATACTCCCTGAAGTTGGGCAGCCAGACACAAATCGTGGTCAGCTCGCAGACAATCATCAGAGACCTTCTCGAGAAGCGGAGCAACATCTATTCGACCCGGATGGATATGTTTATTCGAGAGAACAGTGACAACCTCAACATCTTGTTTCGAAAGTGAGCACAGACCCGATGGACCAGTCCTGGCCGTCTGCGACAATCTGACCCAAAGATTTGCAGTAACGATGACATCTGGAGACGCCAAAGGAGGATGTATCACCTGCGTCTCAATGCCAAAGGGGCTGATAGCTATATTCCATACCAGGTAAGAGCGCTTCCATCCAGTCTCTTGCGTGCACGTCCACGGCGGAGATGCCCTGACGCGTTCAACCACCAGCTCTTTGAGAGCCGCCAGTTGCTCCACGATTTCCTGGTCGCCCCGGACGATTATGATCGAAATTTCAGGCGATACACCTCCAGCGTGGCTTCGACGTTGGCTTTCGGATGGCGAACTCCAAGTATGGATATTCCAGCAGTTGCTGGAATGTGTGATGTAGGTACACATCTTTCGGTACCCTTGGGACTTAATGCTCAGATATCGAACGAAGTGGAACGACCGGAACGTGCGCATCGCCAATTCGTTGCAAATGACCGACTGGTATCCCTCATTGCGACCCGTCTTCAATCTGATCCCGACTCGCTTGAGCGGGCTCAAGCAAGACTTGAAGGAGATCAGGAAGCTTGAGGAGGGTCTGTTTATCGACCTGTTTCAGGAAGCCAAAGCAAGGAACAGAGAGGGCAGAATTCGGCCGTGTAGGTGGAATACTCCATTCTCCAATGTGCAATTCGTCAACTGACTGAGGCTACACTTCAAGGCTTTTCCAATGACATGATAAGCGCCAACGAAAAGGCCGGAGCCGACAGGCTGGGTGACAAAGAGTTAGCTCACAACGCGGTTCAAGCAGCAATGGGAGCCACGTAAGTGCTACATACGCTAATGGAACGCTCAGAGCTGCGAGCTAATGGACTCACAGGGACACTCAGTGGAACACCTTGAAAGGCTTCCTCAAGGTAGAGGCACTCGAACTAGAGATTTTTCTATGCTGACAGCAGGCTTTCCAAGGCTATGGTTCTCTTTCCGAAAGTGCAAAAGGAAGCGCAGGCGGAAATCGACAAGGTTGTCGGGCCTAACAGGATGCCGTCCTGGTCTGATCGTGAGCACCTCCCGTACATACGAGGTGTCGTGGAGGAAAGCTTGAGATGTGAGTTGCAAGTCTCGACAAAGCCCTGAGAATATTGACCGTTTTTACAGGGTTTCCTACGACTCTTCTCGGTGCGGTGCCTCATGGCGTTGCTCAAGATGACATTTATATAGGCTACAAGATCCCCGCCGGTGCTGGCATTATTAACAACGTGAGTTTGATAGGAAAGTACTGTTGATTGGTGAAGGTCTGACTTTTTATCTCAGGTCTGGACGATAAACAACGACCCGGAGAGGTACAAGAACCCCAGAGAGTTTGATCCCCGTCGCCACGATTTGGACAAGACCTCGGGAGAATTCTTCGGTATTAACTCCAATACCACTGAACGTCCTCACATGAACTTTGGTGCAGGGAGGAGAGTCTGTCCAGGCTTTCACGTCGCGGAAAGGGGCCTCTTCATCGCCATTGTTCGCATGCTGTGGGCTTTTAGCATGAGTCGGGGAGTGGACGAACAGGGGAATCCCGTCCCCATTGATAGAGATGCCGTAACCGGCGGGCTCGTGGCAGGTCCAGCCCCGTTCAGGTGGGTACTGACGACTCTGAGAGTCGTCAAGGCGCTGACGGTGATCCAAGTTGTAAGATTGTCCCACGGGACGAAGGACGCCGGGCCAAAATCATTCAATCTTGGGACGAGGCACTCACTTCCTTGGACAAGGACTTCGACTTTACCGACGAGTATTTCAAGAGAGAATTTCAGCATGTGAAAGCTTGAGAGAGAGGTTTTGGAGAATAGCGATAGTTTTAGCACTTATGACGGCGACATGACCCATGTCAGGGGAATGTAGTTGTTGAAAGCGCATGGTTTAAGCTAAGCCCCTTCTCTATCTCTGCCCGGTATTATCTAGCTCTTGGGTAGAGACAGTGTGGATAATGATGCGCGATAACGACTTGAACCACATTTCCCTACTCGTCCTGCTCAAGAGGTTGGGGGGAATGCCATACGTTTCCGGATTCTCCCAATCTCGGTGACTTCCACCTCAACCACGTCGCCATCCTTGAGCCATGCCGGTGGCTTGTGGAAGGCTGCGACTCCGCTCGGAGTTCCAGTCATCACTACCGTTCCCGGGCGTATGGTCCTGCCTCGGGTCAAGTGTCTGACAATAGACGGAATGTCGAAAATGAGGTCGTCCGTCTGGGAAAGCTGTCGCTGCTCCCCGTTGACGGTGGTCTTTAAAGTAAGCTTGGAAGGATCTGGGACATACGAGGTGGATGCTAGTATCGATCCGATTACTGTGAATTTATCGAAGGCTTTTGCGTAGCCGTGTTGGCCTCCTGAACGCGTAGGGTCCTGCCACAATCGTGAGGACACATCGTTGCCGACCGTGTATCCCAGTAAATAATCGAAGACGTTGTCAGATTCTGTCAGATTCACAGCCTGCTTGCCAAAGACAATCGTCAACTCGCCCTACGGCATGAAATCAGATCAGTATATTGCTTCTCCAGCGAACCCAATCGATACTTGCCTCGTAATCCATGAAGTCTGCCTCCTTGTGTACGGGCACGTCCTCGTAAGGTCCCGATACTGCCTCTATACACATCTTCAGCGATTTAAGTCGCCACTTTGCAGACATAGCTCACCTGATCCTCCTCCCTTGAAAAAGATCAACGGATAAGGGGGTATCTCGACCTGATGCGGCGATGAGCGCGGGTTTACGCATTACAAGCCATGTGAACATACCTTGGCTTCTTCAGCGTGCTTGCGATAATTGAGACCAATCCCATAGATAAAAGGTGGTGCTTCGATCGGACTCAATACTTTGGCGATCTTGACTGTGTCTGTACTGAGACAGAAGCTTTGCTTCCATGGTAGTCCACCCGTGTACACAGGCACAGAGACGCCCACTAGGTTGTCAGCCCAGTTGTGGCTTTTAGGGACTTCCCCGTAGTGGGCTTGCCCTGCGTGATCTTCGAACCTCACAAGACGTTTGAAGATAGAGTCTGCCATTTCTGCTGGAGGTTGCGTGTTCCTGACTGTAGGCGGCGTCGCTGCTCTATACTTGACGGAGGAGGCTCTCCAATTTCCATTTGACCATGCGGGAGACGGCTTACACGGTCCAAGGTAGTGTCATACCCCGTACACCAGTTCAGCGAGCTCCAAGATGGAGTTGCTGTACCTACGCAGCTTGCTTGTCTCAGGCATAGGAATCATCTGTCTTGTCGGAGTTCGGACTGCCGTGTCAGCCGAACCGAGTTCCACCGAGACCACGTTCTCCGGACGGAGACTGAGAATTTCCCCCTGCCAGGGCCACAAAACACTTCGTTGTGGGCAGGGTTCGTATACCTGGACTGTTGCATTCCCCCCCCCGATCCAAACTAGGTGCTGATTTCGGTCTCGCTGCTCTTCACCAACCACCAACACCAATGGCATCGACAGGACCTTTTGAGACGAAATGGCCAGCTGACATACCAGCTCCAGCAGGCGTCAAGCAGTGGATAGATGACTTCTATCACCTCGCTGACGACCAAGCCGCCGACGCGGGTCATCGGCTGGCGGAATTGTTTACGCCCGATGCGACACAATTCGGTCTGGCTGGGCCTTTGAAGGGAAGGGAAGGTAAAGACACACTTCTCCAAAAACCATCGTCCTGTCACTAAGCTCAGCTGCTAAATATATAGCTATTGCCGCTAATCGCCCGAAGGCGTGGATCACGCAGAAAGAACGCAGGCATGATCCCCTCGAGGTGTACACCTCCAAAGCAGACTACAGTGAGATTGTTGTCCTCGGGCGGATCAAGTCATGGTTCAAAAATGGGGAAGTGGTAGAGGCGGATTTCGTCGCCGGCATTACCTTTACAGGCGATACTTCGCAGAAACCACTCTGTTCGCTGTACCGCGTATGGGGGGTGAGTGGCTTCTAGCAACTGAGCTTGTTTTAACGTCTCGTGCTAATTTGCGTAGGACAGCGCACCGTGGGTGAAAGCGATGAGCAAACAGCGTTGACAAGAGGTATACAAGGCTAGAATTATGTGTGCAGAGATAGTGTAGTGCTTCAAAAATTGATATGCAAAATATTCGAGAAGCTAAGTTGTCCGCCGATAGCTGCACAGTTTGACAGTGTACGTAAGTGGTTGAGCCAGACCCAATGAGCACACCCTACCGAGTGTTAGTGGAGTTTGTGCACCAATTGAGGCAATCAAGAGACATACTGCTCTGATCAGACTGTCAATTGTCTTCGTTTGACCCGCTGTGATATACGCGATGAATCGATAGTGGCGACGATGATCTCATGCTAACGACGAGTGAATAGATCGGACGACCAACTGACGACCGTGAAAGAGACTGTCTGATACACGATGATGGAGAGAATGATCCACATTATGTCAGAACTCGTGCATTTGTATCCTTGTCAGAGATATTAAGATGGATGGGACTTGGTTGGTAAAAGTCACGTACGTAAGGACTGGAAGGGCGGGAGGCTGACGAAGGAAAAACTATATGAAAAGCCCGGGATAGGAGGTATTCTACTGCAAGCGTATAAAACCGCCTATTAATGAGGTTGCTTTAAACCTTATAGGTGGACTTATACTCCCTGACTCCATACACAATCAACACCCGGCAGAACTTCGGATTAACCTCGATCAGACCGCCCACAAACTGTTCAGGTGACAGCCTCACTAACCTGATGTTTCAGGTTAGCCAAGTGTGGAGGCGGAGTGGCCAACTGCGCTCGACTGATCAAGTGGAAACCCTTAGACAGCTTCAATTTTTGTCATCGTAAAAGCAAGTTTTCTCCTCTAACTAACAAGACTTGAATAGCCATCTGAAAGCCCCAGGGAATGGCAGATACCAATAGGTATGCGTCGGTCAAGCGACTCGGTGCTTCTGTACTCTATCAGCCCACCAGGCAAGAGCTAGTCGTCAAGTAGTCACCTCCAAATATAGCACTGCTTCCTTGAGATCGACTTCGATACAGTATCGTCTTCGTCCACGGTCTGCGCGCACATCCTTGCTACGCTTGGCAGACCCGATCATCTACTCCTAACACTCAACACGAGGTTAAACGTCGAGGCTTCCTATCACGTATCGGACGTGGGAATACCGCGTCTGTCGCTACTCCATCAGCATATACTTTAAACGAAGGTGGTGAAGGTGGTGAAGACGGCGAAGCAAATATTAATGCCACAGGCAGTGCCGCATTCTGGCCAGCTGACCTACTGCCGGCTCGAATTCCCGAGGCAAGAATTATCACATACGGATATGATGTGGATGTCATTCGCGGTATATTTCAGAGGGCTAGCAAGAATAGGATTTTGCGGTACGGTAACGACCTGATGGTAAAACTAGAGAGATCCCTACCTGACAAGGTAAGTATTTGCACCTTTATTGTTCTGCTACATCTCGACTGGACTTCAAGTGCTGGGTCTTCCAGAGGAACCGGGCAAATGCATAAGAGCCGTCATATTTTGTGGAACTTCCCATAGAGAATCTGATGCAGCAGCATGGGGACGCCTCGCATCAACTGTTGTGAAGGTGGCCCTCCAGATTGTGAACTCCAAGATACTCAGCGACCTGCAAGTCGACTCTGAAATCCTTGACCTCATCCAGGATGACTTTCCCAGGGCGTTGCATGACAGTCATCTCAGTGTACATTCACCTCAAGAGGAAGGTCTCACTGGTATCAGAGGATTTTTTGGGAAGGTACCGTGATTCTCACATGGCAGGATGCTTTTTTCAGACTAATCAATTGTCAAGGTTGTTGACGACTTTTCTTCAAAGGTTGGCCATGCTCTGGAAACGACGGAGGTAATAAGTGGAAACCATATTGAGATAGTGAAATGTAATGATGGTATTGAAAACATTTCGGGGGATCTAAAAGGTTTTTTACAGGCCTTTGAGAGCGAGCGACCGCCGCAGAGTATGTAATTCAAATACTTCGTGCGTTCAGAATACTCATTACAAGAAAGAATCAGCAGAGTTCGGACGAAAAGAAATTCCATATACATACCTCAACCGATTTTTCTTCTTGACTATAATGAACCTCGATCTAGGATATCGGAAATACACCCGAATACCTGTTCGTGGCTGATGCAGATCAAAGACTTCCAAAACTGGTGCAAAGGTGAAGGCTCCCATATCTTCTGGCTCCACGGCTTGCCGCAACTCGGAAAATCAGTCGTGGCACGCGACGTTCTGGAAAGTTTAGAAGCACCAGATGGAGTGCATTTCTGGGTTTTCTCCATTCCACTCACTGTAGTAATTTAGGATGGCACATACATCATTATCAAGAGATATGTCGACGAAACCCTCCAGGAGACCTTCTTCGAGTATACTCGTGAGCTAAAGAAGCGAGGGAATCTTGTCCAGCCTTCTTCGCAAAAGCTCTTATTTAAGGTGTCAACTGGTTTTCTTTGTCTGATTACTCTAGATCACTATGAACTACCATAGGATTACAACGAAGTCAGCATTAAACATCTGTTAGTCCCCTTTCATCGACGTCTTCCCACTGAAACGCCTCCCCTTGGGATCATTTGTTTTCAGCCTTTCTCAGTGCCAGGCAAACTATCACATAATAGGACGATACCTATTTCTTGATCAAGAGACTTTTGGAGGAGGATTAATTAGAGGAGTTGTTTGACCATACCGATAGGATACGACCCATATATGAGATGAACAAGAGAGTTTGAGAGCAAGTCCCACCGCGCAACCGAGGCCGCCTTCGTACACTGTTCGGAACCCGCAAGAATAATATTGCGCGTTAATTGCCGGGCACCACATAACGAAAGGACGCAAGCGTGACACCTTGCTCTTTCAACGAGTGTTCCAGAACCACACGTTCAACGAATGGCGCCTTTCAGTCAGATATCAAAAATCCCAAGCAAAGAGGACCACTTCGACCTGGATGCTGCTATCGAAGCTGTTAAAAGTGTAGACCCAATCTCTCCCGACACTGCAGATATTGCTCGATAATGGCTGGGATATCAATGAACCGGAAAGCTACTTCGAACCACCGCTCTTAGGGTAAGCACGCACCGATCAGTCATATATCTCTTTAAGCTGAAATATCTAGACGTGCGGATCGATCGGATGCTAATGAAGAGGTTGTTCGCTGGTTTCTTGATCATGGTGCAGACCCCAATGCCTATGCAGGAAAATACAAGCTCACACCGCTCTCTCGTGCCATTCATTTCGCGCCTGTCAATATCATTCAGCTACTCCTCGATCGCGGAGGATCTGCAGAAAAGGGTGAATTGATCAACTTTGTCTGTAAAAGGCCAGAAGATTCAAATACTCTATACTTGTTGAGACTACTTCACGAGATGGGAGCTAGCATCAGCAATTCCCTCTTCGACACAGACCCCAGCCTTAGCGACGTCACTCAATTCGAAGGGACACCTATGTGGATTTCTTGTACTGTGGGAAACATCACGGCAGTCTGATATCTAGTTGACCATGGTGCAAGCCCCTTTGAGAAACCATTTTTTGCTCGGTACTTGCCGCTGGATGCAGCCAGGGAATATGAACACTGGGAGATTGCCAAGATATTGTCTAATGTCTCTAAATAATCAACTGAGAGGCTTCAAAATGTAAAGACAACGAGCTAGATTGGGTCCTTAAGGGAAGGTACAGAAAATATGTGAAATGTGACCTGATCTCAGAACAAAAGGGGGCTGGCCTTGAACCTAATTTCTTCCATCGGATTTCACTAGAGCCATACTTCTGAGGTTTCCGATTCAGCAGCTGTCGGACGATCTGAAGGTGCCCAAGTGAGTATACTCTCCAGTAGCTCAGACAGCACTCCGGGACGCTGATGTAGTCTTTGCTTGATATTCTGCCACTCATCCGGTCCCACACCATTCTTCCAGCTGCATCCCTCCTGGAAGAAAAGCTGGTATGCCGTAAGGCCCGTTCCCCATACGTCCACCTTGCTGTCGTACTTGGAGCCTATGCTCGTTCCAGCTTTGATTGCGAGAACCTCTGGGGCCAAATACACAATCGTTCCCACGCTGTGATCCGCCGATGTTGCATTGAGAGTTGCGCAACCGTAGTCGATAATGATAGCGTGGGGCGGATCATATGCGACCATCATGAGATTGGTCGGCTTGAGGTTTCGATGCATGATACGATTTTCATGAAGGAGGGCGTGGCCACGGAGGACCTGCTGCATGGCATTTTGATGGATGCGGTAAGACTTCGCCGACATGGTGAGCTCAATGAGTATTCTAACGCAAGGAGGGACATGAACAGATACACATCACCAAGTTTTCCACCCTCTATCCATGTCGCTTCCCCACCAGAGTACTCTTCAGCGATCAAGTTGCAGAGATTTGGCTACCGTGGTCAGTCTAGGCGCCTCTTTGGCGACCAGTAAGAACTTACGTGCGACCCGACCCGCTTGGAGATCTCTATCTCTAGCCGGATACGCTCGAGGTTTCCGCATGTTCTTTGTAGGTGTTTGACAGCCACAGGACTACCAGTCTCGCAATTTATGTCACCGACCATGACCGCCGTTACTTAGAGGCTCTTGTATCACAAATCCATGGAGTTCAATGTGATGAGGTTGTGGGGTGGGCTCAAGGGAAGGGTGTATTTGCCGGCCATGCCACTCAGATATCAAAGTGTTCACCTGAGTTCGATATTTGCCCAGCTCAGTGAATTCCAGACAGAATGTGAGGTTTTCGATCGTGATACTAGTGCGAGGTAAATGTTTGACCATTTTCAAGCTTCTCGTCGCCATTGATATATATCGGCTTCTTTGCAGGGGCAGTTACTTCCAGCAGGCCATCGTTGATATTAAAAACCCGGCCGTGTCTCCCCAGAACGCGGTCCTGTTTCCGGTCGACAGTGAGTAGAAAGTCAGTATGTCCGTCGGGCAGATGCCGTCAACCGCTTCCCCAGACCCAACTCAGTCGAGGTACTTTAGGCAACTTCGTCATGCTGAAGATATAATGAAGTTGATGACAAGGTCAGATCGAGCGACCACTATCTTCAAAGGAGGTGAGTTCTTTCGCTGCCTCATCGATATAAATGAATTGCCTTGCGCGCTTTTGCCAGTCGGGATCAAGTCGTACACGCTGAGCAATTTTGCTAAATGGGAGTCGCGCAGGACGATTTACGGGTATCAGACGAGCAAAATCGCCCTCAAGCCGTGCGGACGTTCTTGGAGAACACGGATCCTCGAGAACTCCCGTAGCTGGCGTGCTAGGTGGTTCTTGTTCCGCCTAGTCAGTTGGCATGATGGGAGCGGCCCAGTGCTGCGTGAACTGATAACGTGCTATTTCTGGGATCGAGAATGCATACTTGTATTGAGGTAACGCACGCTGGGACTGTGGCGGGATCCCCAGAGTGGGCTGGCTACCCCACTCGCCCACAATTAGGGAATATTGTTCTTGCGAGCTCCGAGAAGTCGCAGCAAAGTCCAGAGAGCAACTCACGTGGCAACGCGAGGTAATGGCGTTACACGTGCACTCCAAAAGTTCCAGTTGCTCATGTCTAACAAAGTCAACGAGGCACTGAACCCACCGAAATGCTCGTCATCCATATCGATGACTCTGGTCAATGAAACCCTTTTTTCCCTACCTCCGTCGCCAGTCCTCTAGTATGGTAGCCAATATTTCCCGTCGATGCACAAACAACTGTGCAAGCGACTTCGAGCCGTGGCCAGAAATGGTGAACCCCCAAAGTACCAAGAGCGCGATTGTTTTGCCCTCTATGTCGAAGCCTGCTATATGTTCTCCGCCGAAGAGTATACCGGCGGAGATGACTTGAAACCAACACCTCCGTCTAGCGACGAACCTTCCACACCTCGAGACGACGGTGATGCCTCTCGTGGAGTTCCACTACAGTCCTTTGGTGCGCCAGGGGTAGGAAAGCTTGGATTGGCTGATGAAGTTTCAAAAAAGAATATCGACCCCAAATAAGATGAACATGCCAGATGCGGCTTCGTTCATCGCCCATGGGTGAAGCAGGTTGAGTTGAGCTCGACGACTGGGGTCAAAAACGAAAACAGAAGCCGAGAGGGCACTTGGGCTCAGTCGATCCGCACACCCCATCGGTAAAAAGAGCAAGACATGACCAGGTCACTTCGTACGGAAAATATGGCAAGGTTCACCACCCTTTACAGGTATCCACTTAAGCGATATCGAACCGGATGGCGTACTGCAACTTGTGTATCACCGTTCAGTCGTCTCAGCGCCAACAGTGCCAGACGCCTTATCATCTATGGCCACAATTTCGGGCTGTAAGATGGGGATCATGGATGTCATCTATGATCAAAGACGCTGAAGTGGTGAGAAAGTGTCTACTCAACAATCGATCGATTCCGTTCATAATAAGAGTGGTACGGTCAGTCAGGCCTAGAGGACGCAGCTTCATCACTCCTACTACGCACCTAGAAAGACGTCTTTCCTTCGTGGAAATCGCCTCCTTTACCGCCTGTTCACTTTTCGCTCAATCCCGAATCCGCCTCACGATGTCCTATGTCCAACTTACTGTTTCTACTATTGTCGACCACATCAACACTATATGAGACCAAAGGAATCAATGGTGTTGCCCTACGAGCTCCCTGAAGGGGCGGATATAATGGCTCTTACCCACGGGAAAGGTGTCCGACCCTCTTGACGCAGTTCACGAACTCATTCGGCGGAGAGAAATATGCAAAATTGCTCCTGTTTGAGGGTATTAGGAGATGAAACGTTACCGCCTTGGGGAAGGAGTGCGTCAGGCTGCGTTTATAGTAACCGCACTGCACTGGAGGTATCAACGGTTCCGTTAAACATCACCACGGCGAGGATGGTTTTGGGAGGGGTCCCCCAGCATCTTCCCCTGCTTCAAGATGTTGCTGCCCTGCAGACACCGTGTCTAGCCGATGTTCAGCCTGCTCCAGCTGAGTCAAGAAATAGAAGGTCTTGGATATCACCAGTCCCAATCACTCGAGTCTCATTCTAGAGTAGCAGCTTGTTTGATCCATTACTATACTCGCAAGGCCATAAGTGGGCGGAATACTTCGTATACATCGTTATCGAGTCACTGCTGTAGAGGGTCTCTAGAGTTCAGATGGGCTTTCTGTACTGCAATTCTTGGACCGTATCTCTAGTTTTTTGGGCTTCCGCCTTGGTTTCGACTCTTCCTGGATGCTTTGTGTCAGGTTGACTTCTGTTTGGGGTTGTTTGTTGGGTTCAGTGGGCCTTTTCGACCTGATTTCCAGCTTTGGCGGCTTTCTTCGTGGTCTCTCGTCCCTTCTCTCCTTGTCCTCCGGCATGTCTGTCTCCGATGCTGCTGCGATTGCTCTCTGCTCAACGTCGGAGTTGTTTTGTTGGCTCACCTCCTGTTCTAATGCCTCGGCCACCTTTTCGGGATCAGCGTCCTCAAACTTTTCCTCTTTCCCACCCAGCTTTACCCACGGTCCATGGATAGCACCAACGCCGGTTCCGATCAACATACCCAATCCCGTTGTTGGAACTGCTGCGATAGCACCCAACACCGTTCCCACTCCGGCACCGAGGCCCAATCCAGTAGCTGCACCAATTCCTCCCCCAAATCCAAAACCCTGCCAGGTGCCACTTTGCAGGCGTCTCGCCATCTTGCTATGCCCGTGGGCTTCCACCTCCTTGTCAAAGGCCTCCTTCAACAACTTCTCCCGTTGCTTTGAGTCGGTAAGTGCCATGGCTCTAGATTTCAAGTCATTGGCCTTGGATTGAGCTTTTTGAGCCTTTTGAAGACTCTCAATCGTTTTGACCATTTCTTCTCTACTTGGCATCTTGTCGCTACCATTATTGGGTGCATCATTGTCGACACCGTTCTCATTCGTGCCTCCTCCAAGTATAGATTTCATTACATCCATTATCAATTGTGGAGGCTCTGGCCTTGAACGATTGTAGCCTGAGTTGCTCGGTTCGGGCCGGTGATTAGAACATATCCTGCGAAGCTGTCGTAGGCTGCTCGGGCCGTTTGGAGGGAGAAGTGCTGATGAGCGAGATATAAGAGAAAAACTTGGTAAAAGGGTTGGTTGTTATACGAAACGAGATTCCGACGTCATCGCTTCATCCCTGAAGCCACTGTCGAGTCAACACTTACAATGCCAAGCATCTACGTCAGAGGCCTTTTTGCGCATGGAGACTTGTGACGACCAATTTGGAAGACGTATTCTTTCCTTCGAGAAGTTCTTTTCACTTTCCAATGTATTGACAATCAGCAAGACTTTGGCAAAGAGGGGTTAAGTCCTCATTGTTTTTCATGTAGAATGATGAGAAAGGACAATCGGCGGAAATCCCTCCATGAAACCACATTGACAGCGGCGAAGTCATGCAATCTTAGGGCTTCCATCCCTGCTAATTGTCAATGAAGTATGAGTTTTTCTCAGTATTTCGCAAAGTTACACGCCTTTCCACGCGCCCACCCACACACGCGCAAAGGAAAGAAGAGAAATCGGAACACAGTAATGTCGGTGAGCAAACTTCTGCCACGCCCAGAACCCAGAAACTTGGATGTAAGAGATGGACGAACACTCCAACTTAACCTGACATGGGTACCTTTTGAGATATCGAACCTGATAGGCGCGCTGCAGTAGTTGGGCTGGTGCAGTAATGCCACCGGGATTGCGACACTTCGTCAGGGAGGAATCAGCCAGTGCTCGGAGAAAGCACCATGGGGTGAGTATAGTGGTTATTCGACTTAAATTGCAGCCCCTGTGTCAATCAGCCTAGAGCAGCAACGCAACTGGACTATACCATCGCAGGGGAGACCCGCCTAGATAAGAGTATCTTTGGACCTTTGAATGGATGAACAATTGATGACGAGCACTCCTTCCGCAAAGTGATCGCCCATTGTGATAGCTTCCAGCACGAATCAACAACTACTCATTGCTAACAGGACCCGGCCCATCCATGGGCTTCTTGTTGCCGTCCGTTTCCAAATGCCTTGAAAGTTGTAGGTCATTTTCCAAAGTGTTTTGCACCGGGAGTTGTGACTCGACCATCCGTTTTCGCAACGTGGCCAAGAATTGTGATTCGGTCCCTCCTACGTCAACGAGCACTTTCTCTAGGAGATGCAGCGCGTGCCTTGAGTCCATCAAAAGGCCTCGCGTTCCAGGTGAGGGAGGGGCGCAAAGGAGAACGTCCAACAAGGAGTCGGCGATGCGAAATACCTTGAGCTCCTGCAAGACGTTATTTCTGAAACCAGAAAGGCTATGAATGCCACTAACCATGCCATAGCCATGAGGCTGGATGGATTTCCACGACACATTTTCAAGAACGGAAAGCATGTCGCGTGCAATCGTCGTTGGGAGCAACGCTGAGAATGCCTGATCTCGGGCGTGACAAGACACCGCAAAATGGGCAATTGTATACTGCCAAAGCAGTATTCGAATCCAATTCCGGGTAGCCAGTATATCCACCCCTTGAGACTCGTTCAAGCCTTCACTAAGCGGATGACAGCTGAGATCACGCTGTAGGGTCGATATCCTGTCTTTCGCACTAAGATTGCATGCTAGACTTGTTGACGAGGGGACAGAATCGAGAATATCGCCATCAAGGAAGGTGAAGAGTCGGATCAAGCCTATGAATGCCGGCACGGGGGCGGCGTCATATCCTTCTGTGGGATCAGCGCTCGGGAACTCGTGCATCGGCTTCAATGTGGTTGGAAGGCCATTCTGGACACAATATGTTCTACGTTCTAGGTCAACCCTGGAGGGCGTTCAACTACTTTGAACTTACCTTTCAGAGATAAACAAGATCCAGTAAACTCGCAATCTTAATTGACGCTCTCTTGAGTCTATGCCGGTATAAGTGTCGAGCTGATGCAATTTGAGACCATGGGCGTAGGTGAGGGTCTCTCGCAGGTAGAAGCCGGCGGTGCGGAGTTTGTCTGCATTTGCATAATAGATATGGAGGAAAAATGAGGTCAGAAGTGACGACATAGAGTACTGTTCTCGATACTCGAAAAGCTGTCTCAGCCTCTGGGCTTCTGCCACCAACTCCGAGGAAGAGGACCTGGAGGACACAACATGCTCAGGAAGCCGGAGTTGGGCAATGACAGCTGCACACAGCGCTGCAGCAAGCGAGTACGACTCATAGTCTTCTTGATTGCTCCTTAGAGCGGTGATGAGTTCATCATGCGAGACGATGGGCCACACGGAATATAGGCGCAGGCGGAAAACCTCTAAAAGTCGCTCGTAAACGTGCATAGGGATGTTAGACTGCGCTTTGGGTGAAAGACCATGGTCGACCGCGGCCTCGAGCACCGATTCTTCAGGCGGGGTAGGAAGTGATTGTTGATCGCTGGTTGCTTTCAACATCCTTTGGAATTGCTCGATTTTCATGTTGGTGACCGGTCTTGGACCTTTGGGGCCTCTTTTCCGACGTACCCGGAGAAACGTGCATGGTACAGAGCGATGATTGCATTCGAAACAGGGTGATCCTCCAGAACATCGCACACGCCGCAGCGCACAGCCGTCGCAAGGATTTGCAGTCCGCATCCGTCAAGACGTCACAGAGGGTCTGAGATCCGGACGTGAAGTTCTGAAAGGTTTCTCAGTGCTAACGTCCCAGTTAAGTTTGGAATTCGTCAATGAATATTCCGTCGTTAATTCGGGGCTTAATATCACATTGTATTTGCCAAATCGGTCTTAATAGAGAAGCAATTCACGTGGCTTGGGGGCCGGCAGCAGGCTTCAAGATTCGACAGGGTGGAGGGTTATTCTGTAGGTGTTGGTTGAAGAAGACTATGGGTGACTATCTTGAACGACATCAGTCATTTTGAGCGGAGAAAAGATATGACCGGATAGAGTTTCCTCAAACAACTACGTGGGATGCAGGCAGACTGTAACACTATCACCAGCAAAAGCGAGAGCTCTGTCGGGTGTTCCATAGGCTGAGATAGAGGCGCCTCGGCAATGAGTGTTACTGCCAACTCCTGGTGTGGTTGTACTGGACCTCGTCAATCACAAAATGGCTATTCCGTAAGCACCAGCGGTGGTAACAGGCGGCCGTGTTTCGTGACAACCCATTCGATAAAACTAAGCAAAGGATAGACATGGATAATCGTCCAGCAGTGCTGAGTTTTCGTGTGAAGAACTCGTCTGTAACCCTCAGTTGTAACCCTCAGAGTCCTGTATGGTTAGCATTGGCGCAATAATGTTCATTCGTTCGCTGCGACGACTTTCATTGTACAGACCAAGATGGGACGATGTATAGTCAGAAACAGGTATTTGCAAGACCTTCAGTTGGAAAAGAAAAGGCCTTGACATTGAAAGTGGCCGCTGCTCCAACGCGATTAGGTTTCTTTGAAAGATGTTAATATTACTGCGGTGACTGGGAAATATTCGAGAAGGAACTTGTCCTCGCACTCTGTCCCGAGCACTCGGTACCTCGTAGTCGCTGAGAAATTGGTTGTGGGGAAGTGGCATCATCCTTGGTACGTGATTTGGCCAAGGTTCCGATCCCACAAATTGATTGGGACCGCCCTCCGAATATGGTACCGACGAAGTAGGGTGGTAGGGTAACAGCATTCATCGATGAGGGCAGGTTGTCGTCTTAGTAGCAAATGTGATGATGGCATGTCTCGAACACTTCCAATTTCACCGACTGTCGAAAGGGGGCAAACAAGAGTGCGATGGATGAGTTTTTCGTTTGTTATTCTTAGCTAATTGAAAACGAGGTAGCTGAGGCAGGCAAGCCAGGGCTGGCCAGGTTAAAGGACGAGTTACGAGGTACTCGGTAGTCACTGCCTGGGACGCAGGTCAGCCCTGGTAAATTGGAAAGGATCCTTATGGTTTAGGGGCTAAAGGGCTGCATTTTGCCGAAAGCCAAATCCACCAAGCAAATGAAGCCGCATCTTGTTTCCCAGAGACGAATACGAGCTTCTTGCCCCTAGAACCTCCCCAGATTCCGAGCTTGAGAATTGTTGTCACCCGTCGAGAGATTCCAACGAGTGTCGGAAAAGAATGACAGATGAGATTATTGTCGCTTGGTGTTACTTGTTATATGGAGTTGACACATGAGAGAATTGGTGGAGAGTGATATTGGATTTTATCAAGCGAATCCTCCCAGATTCGCCCCAAAGGTCATTATTGGATGAGCCTTTCCTGGCAGGACGAAGTTTCAGCGGAGAAAAGGTTGGAGTAATTGTTTTGCCGTAGCTAAAGCATCAACTACGGCCCATGGACCACGACGGTCTCTACATCACTCCGACAATAAGCTTATAGAAAAAAGGTTGAAAGAAGCCTTGACGTGTTATGTATGTGCCCGGGTATTCCACATGGACATCGACGTGCAACGAGATTAGAGACACGCGATACATGTACCGAGTAGTATTAGGTGGTTGTAAATTCCAAAAGGGGCAGGATCTACCAACCCAAGGTCGCACCTTCCCGACTGAACATGCAGCACTGCGGCTGACGTTGAGGCACGTGTTCCTCCTTCATGCACCTCTTCGTATAACTGTAACTGCTTGTAGGCGTTGTTCAGACCACATATCCGACCACCCCCCAGAATCCATCCTCTCGGGCCTCCAGGAGCCAGACTTACTTTCAATTTCTCCGTTGCGATCCTCCTGAATCCTGACCTCAGCATCCCATCGAGCTCTGGTGCCTCCCCTGTTTCGCATTCAGGCTTCCATCGCTTCAAAGCCCCAGCGTCTCCACCCCCCGAGAAATGGCGCCCTCAAGCAATTGGTGGGCGCCGAACCCTGTCATCAAGCTCAAAGATTAAACACAGCTTGCAATTTCCACCGGCGCAAACATTGGCGAATTCTCGACGCTCACGCAATCCACTTCCGACGCGCCCTGTCCCCTTTCGGCTCTAAACTACCCCTGACACCAAGCTTTTCTCAACAACCACCGTCCATCGTCTCCTCCAAGCGTGACCCTATTGCCAGCAACGGCGTTGAACGGCTTGCAACGTTCGCAATCCTAACCGTTTGGCGTGATGTGGCTGATACTCGAACCCCGTGTCCAAAGATTGGCATTTCGCTTCAAGGCCCATCGTTGCAGGATGACCAGCCGATCCTCATCGCCTGTCACCAGCGCATTGTACCAACAGAAGTCCACCGCCCTATCCACTATGCTAAACTGAGACAGTTCTGCCCCAGCCCAACGATGCCTGATGGCATGCGAGGCAATCATCCCGCTGGCGGAAACCCACAACCCACGGCTTCGCGGCAGGCCGATCAGGCTGTCCAATCTTGAAGGAAAGGTCAAAAAAAGAAGCCCCCAACGGTGAAAGCTAAAGTGATATACAACCCCTACTCGCGCCTCTGTTTTGCTTCTCTTCTTTTCCTTCCCGTACGCATCATATTCCTTCAAGTCACTCCTTTGTGCAGGCAACTCTGCCTGCGTCCATTCGTTCTATAATGCGTTCTTTTCCTCTTTTCCTCACCGCTGCTGCGGCTGGTCTCGCACGTGCTTCCAATTGGGAGTCCGATGTCACCGTCACAGCCACCTCAACTCGAACTCACACCGTCTGCCCGGTAACGCAGGTCCTCACATGCGACGCTTCGGGTCCTACGGATGTCGGCGCAGGAAATGGCTGGCACCCTGGCCAAGGGAACAACGGTGCTGAGGATTACTGGGCTTCGCTCTGGAATGAACAGAAGTCCAAATATGGGATCGGAAACGGCGGAAACACGGCCACCGCAACTGGCGCACATCCCGACAATGGCTTCGGACACGGTCATGGCGGTCATGGCGGCCACGGTTCGACGCCATCTACGACAGCCGGCGGCTCAGGCCCAACAGACACCGGCGGGAACGGTGGAAACGGTGGCAACGGTTCAGGACCAAGCAGCAGCTACAGCTACACCTCGCCCACCACCAGCGGCGGTTCAGGCCCAACCTCATCTTCAACTGCCACAACCTCAGGCTCCGGTACTTGTGCCACTTACACCCCTGTCAAGAATGCCACAGACGATTACTGCAACTCCGCCTCTGATCGCTCCGTTTGGTGCGACAACAAGGATATCAACAGTGATTACTACACTGACTACAAGACTGGTGTCACCCGCAAGTACACCTTGACGATTACCAACACCACTTTGGTCTTCGATGGCACGGGCCCCAAGCTCGCTCTCGCCATCAACGGTCAAGTCCCTGGCCCCGTGATCGAGGCTAACTGGGGTGACATGGTCGAGGTCACTGTGATCAACCAATTGCAAGACAACAGTACATCCATTCACTGGCATGGTATCCGCCAACTCAACACCAACGATCAGGACGGCGTTCCCGGTGTGACTGAGTGCGGTATTGCTGGAAACGGTGGCAGCCGTACATACAAGTGGCATGCAAACTCGTATGGTACTTCATGGTACCACAGCCACACTTTCGCCCAGTATGGTGATGGTATCCGCGGTCCTATCGTCATCCACGGACCCGCCACTTCCGACTACGACTACGACATGGGTACAGTTATGATTGATGACACGTAAGTGAAACACCTGTGCTAACAGGTCACGAGAGTCTAAATTTTTGGCAGTTTCCCCATTACCGCTGCTGCAATGGCATCGCGCATTGCTCACGTCGGACCTGGCGGTTCCTTCAACACCCTGTTCAACGGTATGAACAAGAACCCTGATGGAACTGCTCCTGGTGGAACTCCTTTCTCGTGGGGAGTGAAGCCTTGCAAGAAGCACTTGTTCCGCATCATCAACAGGTTTGTTCGGCCCTGGTCCCGCTTAATAACATCTACTAAAGTTGTTACAGCTCCGCACAAAACAGCTACATCGTTGGCTTCGACAACCACACAATGACTGTCATTGCTGCCGATTTCGTGCCCATCGTGCCCTACGAGACCACTACCCTCAACATCGCAACTGGCCAGAGATACGATGTTATTGTGCAGATGGACCAAGCACCCAGCAGCTACTATGTCCGCGCGGTCATTCAGACCGGCTGCCCGTCGGGTGGTGCCAACTCTGGTTTGGGAACAGCTAACGCCATCATCAACTACGAGGGTGCTACGCCTGTCACTCCCGTCATCTCGACATCCATCACCAACGTCACTGCCAACATTTGCCAGGACGAACCTCTTGCTTCCCTGGTGCCATACCTGGAGAAGCCGGCTGGCACTGTTACTGCCTTCCAGGGCTCAGCATCCACTATTCCTGCCGGCTCTGTTACCTCAGTTGCCACCAACGATGACGGAACTGTTTTCCAGTGGTACATTAACAACGCCGTCATCAACGTCAACTACAGCCAGCCTACTCTTCAGACCTTGGCACAGGGTTCATCAAACAACAGCCTGGTTAGCAATCCTGTTGTTCTCAACCAAGCCAACCAGTGGGTTTACTTCGTTATCCAGAACCAGTTCTTCGCTTCTCATCCTATGCACGTCCACGGTCACGACATCTCGGTTCTCGGCACTGGTACTGGCACTTTCACCTCCGACCTGGTCAGCTCTCTCAACTTTGACAACCCAACGCGTCGTGATACTGTCATGTTGCAAGGCTCTCCAGGCCCTGGTTTCCCAGCTGGTTACACTGTCATTGGCTTTGAGACCGACAACCCCGGTGCCTGGCTCATGCATTGCCACATTTCGTGGCACGTTGATGGCGGTCTTGCTCTTCAGTTCCTTGAACGACCTGACGACATTCCCGCCAAACAATATGTTAACCAAGCCTTTGAAGATGAATGTTCCGCTTTGAGTGCCTATGAGAACTCCAACCCTCAAGGTGCTAAACTGGCTGGTCAATCTGGCCTGAAGGCTCGTGGATACACTGATGAGTTGGATATCGAGGTCTTCCGCCCTGATGCCAAGATTGACATTCACAAGTACCGCAAGCGATACTCCCACCGCCACCTCCATTAAATGACCAGATCCCAAGTCGAACGCCATTTGCACGCAGCAGCAGCGTCGAAGTAAATAATGGGAGGATTCTGGTAATGCATGCTCATGTACCCTAGCATAAGTTTTGTCTATCTTTCGTCATGTGCCAATTCTATTCATTATAGGAACTCGGAGCTTTCTTTTAAATGACGGTGATGAGTGGAGCTCGTTGCCGTCCTTTTTCAAAGTAAGATGTCCAGATCATCTCTCGATATGGTGCAATGTCTATACCCTAGTACCTCGTACGACCTTTTAGCACAATGTATACTAGATCACATGACTTTGAGACGAGATGTTACACCCTGTTCCCCAACTCCAGCGCCCCCATAACCTTGGCATTTTTTCCAACCCCATTATTTAGTAATACCGCTCTCCACCACGTTGAATGCACAGAATGTGGAGGCCCCTCCACCCTTCATGGGGAAATCCCGCGTGTCCCACGAAGTCGTTCTTCGGATTCGAATGCTCTTGGTCTTGATGACGGTGCACCAATGGGGGGTTACATACAGGAGCAGACATGGGGTCGTCCACCTCGACCCTGAAAACCACTCCAACTCTCCTGTTTTCAAGGTGTTCTGTGCGACGTATATGGACTTCTCAATACCTCGCAGAGCGGCGGACCATCTGAAAGCTTGACGAGTGGGCTTGCAAAAGAGCATTGTGTGGCTTTTGTAGGAAGATGGAGGTCAAAATGCCCAGCACCCGTTTGCTGACCTCAGTGCGCCTCGAGAATGTCTCGCCTCTGAAAGCGATACTGGCCACCTGTGTCGCATTCCCCTTGATATTCATCATCGGCTTCTACCTATGGGTCACACCGAGTACACTGAAGGATTCGAGACGGAAACACCTTCCCCCCGGTCCTCGCGGTTTGCCCTTTCTGGGAAATTTCTTTGAAATGTCAAAGGCTGAAACGTTTCGATTTCAGGCGCAGAAGTGGGCCAAAGAGTATGGGGAGATCTTCTACACTAAGATGGGAGGAGCTGATTACATCTATTTGTCATCTCCGACTGCGGTGAAAGAATTGATGGACAAGAAGTCTGGCATATACTCCTCCCGACCACCAGCACCGCTTGCTAGCGACGTGGCTTCCGCAGGTCGACGACAATTGTTTATGCCATACGGGCCCAAGTACCGCGTTGTACGGAAAATCGCCCATCAGCTCCTCAATATAACTGTTTCAACCAGCTATCAACCTATTCAAGACCTTGAATCCAAGCAATTGATGTACGATCTGCTCCACGACCCGGAACACTTTTATGACCACAACCGACGCTATTCATCGAGTGTGATCCTGACAGTGGCATATGGACATCGGATGGCCGATTGGGACAACCCATTGGTCAAGAAGATCTACAGTGTGGTCAACAACCTACAACAATTTTCCGCACCGGGTGCTTTCCTCGTGGACACATGGCCTTCGCTGCGATATTTCCCCCAGTGGATGTTTGGTAACTGGAGGAAGTTTGGCGAGAAATGCTTTGCACATGACTCCGTTGTCTACCTTAATCTCTGGGGAGACTTAAAGAAGGAGGTCGACGAAGGCAAGGCTAACCCATGCTTTGCGAAAGATTTCTACCTCAGCAACCCGGAGAAACTTGGATTAGATCAGCTTCAAGCAGCATATCAAACCGGTGGCCTGGTCGAAGCTGGCTCTGAAACAACGTCTGCTTTCCTCAACTCTTGGATTTTAGCAATGACCCTGCATCCACATATTATGAAAAAGGCTCAGGAAGAGGTCGATCGAGTGGTTGGAGGAGACAGGCTGCCCACATGGGAAGATGAGGCAAATCTACCTTATCTCAGAGCCATGATTAAGGAATTACTTCGTACTCGCCCGCCCAATAAATTCGGTATTCAGCACTATACGACTGAGGATGACTGGTACAACGGCTATTTCATCCCCAAGGAGACAGTGGTTGTCTTGAACTGGTGGTAAGTGTCTCTGGCATCTAGCATCATAACTTCTTTCTGACATGCGCACAGGGCAATAAACTATGATCCAGCTCACTGGGACAAGCCCGACGAGTTTATGCCAGAACGCTTTCTCGGCTACGATCTCCCAGCCGCTTCCTACATCAACATTGGAGACCCCAACCAGCGGGACCATTTTTCGTACGGAGCAGGAAGGCGAGTCTGTCCCGGTGTCCATGTGGCGGAGAAGTCGCTATTCTTAAACATTGCTCGTGTCCTGTGGGCCTTTAACATCTCCAAGAAATTCGCAAAAGATGGAAGTGTGATTGAGCCTAATACTGCAATGGTTCCAGGCTGGATGACAATCCCTCAACCATTTGAATGTGATGTTACGGTGAGGTCGGAGAAGAAAGCGGCATTGATCAATAAGATTTGGGCCGAGACCAAGGAGACCATGGGTGAGAAATAGGTCGCTGGCCCTAGGGATGGCTGGTTTCGAAGGCTGTTCCAAGCATGCTATATTTAACGTCGCCGAATGTGCATCCAGTATTTTATTTCTTGCTAGATTGAAATGGAACGATCCAACAGTCTCCTCCCGCAGTCGTGCGCAGTATTGCCATTATAGTGGACATTTCTTTGCAGGTCTAAGTCTCACAAGTTGCATCCACAATGTTGCAGAGGGTGCACTGCTGAACAGTAGGGATTGAGCACATGCAGCGAGTAGTCATATCTGAGCATCCTCTAACTCTCTGAGATGCGACTGTGATTGGCTCGCCACGACGTTCGGCAGAAGGAAGTGTCGGCAAAGTTGCCAAATCGAAAATATTACGTCCGAGTACAAGGACACAAGCCGCACTTGGTTCGTGGTCGCGTCAATCAGTTGCCTGCTTTTGAATCAAAGACAGGTACCGATCACTGTTTCTGTTCCATAATTCTGTTCTGCCAGGAAAAATCAGAGCTCCAAGTACAGTAGACATTGTTACTCCTTTTCCAGACTGTTCTCAACCCTCCGCCTTTGCCGCCCCTAGCTCTCCGGCATGCCTGCAACCACTGCAGAGACGCTTTCCCTCGTGAACAGGCAGGTCTCGGTCGCTCCTCTCGTCCTCTTATCAGCTGCAGATCACTACGGTCGCTCGGCCAAAGGAACTCGAAAACGAGTCGTGGGTGTTTTGCTGGGTCAAAATGATGGCAAGAATGTGCGAGTTTCAAACAGTTTCGCCGGTTTGTTGACAAGCGCCCTCGAATACGAAACATCGCTGACAGATAATAGTACCCTTCGAGGAGGACGAAAAAGACCCGTCCGTCTGGTTCCTAGATCATAATTATGTCGAGTCGATGCGGGAAATGTTCAAGAAGGTCAACGCGCGAGAAAAATTGATCGGATGGTACCATTCTGGCCCGAAGCTGCGAGCATCTGATCTCCAGATCAACGAGCTGTTCAAGAAATACACTCCCAACCCTCTCCTTGTCATCATCGACGTCCAACCGAAGGAAGTCGGCGTACCCACAGACGCCTATTTTGCTATTGAAGAGATCAAGGACGACGGAACAACTACCACCAAGACATTTGTGCATACCCCTTCGATCATTGAAGCAGAGGAGGCAGAAGAGATTGGGGTGGAACATCTTCTCAGAGACATCCGTGATGTCGCAGTCGGCACCCTCTCCTCCCGCATCACCCAACAGCTGCAGTCGCTACAAGGTCTTCATCTACGGTTAAGGGACATAGGCACTTACCTTCAAAAGGTCCTTGATGGCGACCTTCCCATCAACCATGCCATCCTCGGCAATCTGCAAGACATTTTCAACCTTCTCCCGAACTTGACGACGCCTCCGGCTTCCCGACCGAATGGCAAGAACCAAATTGAGAATAGCGAGCTAGCTCGTGCGATGAGCATCAAGACCAACGATCAGCTGATGACTATTTACCTGAGCTCGCTAGTCCGCGCAATCACCGCATTCCACGACCTCATTGACAACAAGAATCAAAATCGACAACAGCAAGAAGAAAAAGAAGCGAAGAAGGATGAGGCAGAAAAGAAGGAAGGTGAGAAGGAGAAGGACGAGAAAAAGCAGGGCGTCAACGGGGCGGTAAATGGAGACAAGAAAGAAGGTGACGAGAGTGGCAATGGAAAAGGAAAAGGCAAGAAGAAGAGCTAGACATCTAAATGTCTGTGACTTTTTGCATTGAGCAGGGCGTTTCGACCAACAAGCTCGGCTCCAGGGCATGTTTTGTCTGCTGAACATGGGCAATGTATAATATCATGAAGACACTAAACTAGTGTGCAGGTCCGAGGCGGCTGTGGTCGTCTGAATTATGGCCCTGGAGCCACTGATTTTCCCAGCGATGATGGGCTCCTCTGGAGGCGGCCAAAAAAAAACAAACGCATCAAAGCCTGCTTCCCGTGTTCCGCGAGACGTCCTCTCGACTCCGCACTTTCGAAGAGCCTCGCTGTTCGAGATGCGCCGTGCCTTTTCATACTACTTGTTTTGCAAGGGCAAGCAAACGGTGTCTTCCTAACCGTAGTCCCAAATACCTCCATGCTCTCCCCACCCGCCTCCCCATGCACTTGCTTCTTCCCGCGAGACAGTTGTCTCCTTTACGCTGTTTGCGAAAATATTTGGGGCAGCTTTTGCCAGGAACACTGCTACAATGTGTTTGCAGCTCGGTGTTCTGGCGAGCTTGACAGTGACAGAACCACCAAATTTGTACTCATATTCGGCCGTCGCCTTGGATGGGCCGGTCCGGCCAACGTCAATGTCGTCGTCAACTACCCCAGAGTTTCGACCATGTTCCAGATTCAAGCTCTGAAACACGCTCACGCTGAACGCCGGACACGTGCAATTCCAGGTCTCGAGGCGGACTTCGTAAAGCGGGACCGTGCTGCTGTGGCCACCATGATGATAGTATCGTGGTCGCGAACTTTGCTTGTCCGCAGTGGTTGAAGATTGGACGTAGAAAACCTCCCAGCCACGATGATCTGGTTGGACCTGAGGATTAACTTCTGAGCATTCGAGTAACGAGCGATCCTCTGCTGAAGAACGTCTCTGTCTGGGAATATCTTCTGGGT